ACGCACGTGGGCGCAAGCGAGAGGGATGGCAACAGCCCCGTTCGAGAGGGACCCGACCCGGCGCGGGCGTAGGGAGCGCACCGATTGACAGATTTCCACACGCTCGATACGGTCTTGAATTATATTATCAGGCCACATCGAATCTGCTTAAACGCCGTATCCGACTTCGCAACAGAGTTTGCTGGTTGCGGCAAAAAGCGTCGGATTTTGTCGGCGGAGTCCTTGGAGCGGACGGCGTTACGAGGCGGGCGGCGTGTGCAGCCAGCCATCGCTTGTAAACAAAGCTTATATTTGCCGCGATTCACTCGTCTGTCGTCGCCGACTGCTAATGTTGTCGAAGCGCTGCTGGCGACTTACACGCAGAAAACATCATACCATACAACCTTGTCGCGAAATAGTGCAAAATAATGTTCTGGACAATTACTAGCAAAACGCCGATCAATAATGGCTGATTTTGTTATCGCGATGAAAATGCAGCTCGAACTGCCCCTATATGTTTATTGTTTTCATAAATTCTGAAAGTGAAATATGGTTACAGTAACCGAGTTTTGTAATAGGAATAATGACTAACTTTTTTCCTTCGTTTTCAGGTAGTTTATCAAAAAGTATTGGACATCTATAATTTCTTTATTAACATAACCAAAACATTGCTCTAAGCGTCGCATAAACATACGCGCATAAGCGTAATATAACGTAGAAAACCAAACATAGACCAAACATAAATAAATACCTTTAATTGCACTATTACGTTAAAGGTATATAAATGTATCCGTTTCCTGAAAATATCATTTATTTGAAAATAACAAGTAGTAACTAAAGACTGTTATGTTCATGCGTAGGCGGTATGAGGAATGACGCCCACGTGCAGCGTAGTTATCTTTCAGCCTGTCACCCGCACGATAAACCCTCGGCTGCTGTCTCTAAACGAACTAGTGAATAGTTACTAAAATAAAAATAACAGATTTTACAAAAAGCAAGCTATCAATTTCATACAAAAGCATATCAAGTAATCGTTTTATCATGCGCCAATACATTCGTTGGTATCGCGTCGTTATCGCATTAACAGCAAACAAACAGCGGCTCCGATAATAATCGGTGGTGTGCGACATGCCTCCGAGGGCACAGGGCAGGCAGGCAGCGACGGCGCCGGCACGGTTCCCAACTTAGGGGTTTTGCCCCCAGATTTAGGGGCTAGAAGTGTTAAAACGGACTTTTTAGGGGCTGGAATTTTTTGGTGTTTCTTTTAGGGGCTTTTATCAAAACTTGCAATTAAATCGCAAAACAAAGCGTGTGTTTTCTTTCAGTTTTGTGCGTAAAATGGAACGCACGACGATATGAAACGACTGAACTGACTGTGTGATGGGTTGTTTCATAAGGCTGTATGGACTAAAGTTAAAAACAGGTAAATAAGATTTAACAGCCTGGCAGCTCATTTTCGTTTGATTGCCCTTTCGGAAACTGTATTTATTCAATAAAATAATTTACTGTTACTAATTAGGTAACGTTTTAATTTATGAGCAACGAAAGAAATTGGGTAATGAGTAGGTACTTAAAAAAATGTATATTTAGGGGATTTTAGGGGAATTTAAAAAATACTTAGGGGTAAATTTTGGTAAGGGTTGGTAACACTGGGCGCCGGCGGGTAGCGAGCGGTGCGGGTGCGGCGGCGCGGCGCGCGCCCGCCCTATCGATCCCCCGCCGTGCCGGCCACCGCCAACGCCAGCGCCCTTGAACCTTCAACTATTCATTACTGCATTCGACAAATGCAACAATGAATGAAATTCGAGATTAAGCCAAATTTAAACAGACCACCCAGCCTTGTCATATTTTATTAGATATTCTGATTTATACATTGCCCTGGTAAAACCATCCATTCATAGTGAGATTTTTCAAATAAGCATGCATTTTTAATTCATGATACGAGTAATCAATTACAAGGATCAATATAGAACAGCTACAATTTTAAATTGTTACGCTCTAATTAGATTCTTATACAACAATAATTAAAATAAATGCAAACGATGGCAAATAACAATGGTACTCTAGTGGAAGTCGTGACTCGCGCTAGCCTGAGCATATCTGCGGTTGCGGCGCAGTAAGCGGACCGTTCGCGTCCGCGCGGCCTTGGGCTGGGGGCCGAGATGCTGCCGAACCGGCCGAGATAATGATTGCACCGCGATCTGCTCTCATCCATGCCCGATAGCGGTACTTATAACCGATACTATTTGTTAGGGTAGATCAGGAGATAGGTTATACAACTCAAATTAACACGGTGGCTTCTTTATGTGAAAACCGTATACTTAACCTTAGGGGTCGTCCATTCTCTTTTTGAACAAAGAGGGGTACATTCCGACGCGACGGTTGTGTCAAACCCAACAAGGCCTCGCCCCTCGTTCCGGCGGAACCGACATGAGGACCGATCGAAGGTACCTCTGATTCATTTGTTATGGTCAGCTTATTGCCGCGGTACTCGACGCCCTTGAATAGTGATTTTATTCGTCACTGCTCGACTCGTTTGTTTCCTTAAAAGGTGCAATATTTCTGTTACGTAATCACTCGTTGAACTTTAACAACATCGATGTGCGACCATATTTTTCCTCGTTTCTCGTGTGAACGTCAGTCGCGTCGGGGAGATTGCTCAATAAAACATTTTCATAATCACTATCTGAGTCGTACGAGCACACAATGCGTGCGATAACTAACTGATATGTGTGATGCAAAGAATCGAATACGATTTCAAATCGCCAAGTAGGCGAGACTGCGCTAAATACTGGAAAAACTAGTTCGGCTTCAGCGGGGCGGGCGGGAGATGGCACGCGCACACCTGGAGCACGAATGTCAAGGCTGCACACTTTGGAAGCGCTCCAGCTGTATAGTTTCAAGCGCAAAAAGTGTTTAGTATCCAGCTTAAAAATATTATGTTGGAAGACACCATAAGTAATTCAATCATCAATCGAGAGATCACAGTGGAAGTTGTTGAACGATAAGTTATCATTACAGAAGCCATATCTACCGATTGTTGTTGCATGGGTTTATTCCTCGACATTACTGATAATAATGGTTATTGGAGAATTATCTTAATTGAAGTATGTAAACAGTTACTGGTCACAAAGGAACCGTAGAGAAAATTCAATGTCAATTAAAAATGTTAGCGGACGTTTACTATTGGCTCGTATGTGTTGGTGCGCGGCGCGCGCGACAAACACAAGCACGTGCGCCTCGAGCGGGCGCGTGACGTCACTCGGGTTACCCCGCCCCGCTTTCGAGCGGGACGAGTGATATGCACGAAGCGGCAACGTCGCGTGCGCCGTTTTGTTTTCGCATGTTTATAGATAGGCAGAGTTTATCTACCGATTGCGAATGCAACAATGACTATTTCTATTCTCACATGCAAGAAGTCGTTTTTATAGCTTTGCGACAAGTATCTTTGTTTGTACATTAAAAACAAAGTTATCGACCTTGACTGTTATAAAAAATTAAAATAATTACAAGTTAAACAATAATCTTTCATTTTTAGTAAATAAATAAAAAGTACGTAGTCGAAAAAGGGAAGATACTATCGTCAAATAAAATATGCTCCACTCCGATTCTACTACATAAGTAAGCAACTCTCACGCACGCACACATCTATAAATAAACATTCAATCGAGCGAGCGAGACAGGACAATACGCTTCAAAGCAGCGCGAGCGAGTCGTCAGAGTACGCGTCACTTGACAACCGAATGCAGATTCTCTCTCTCTCTCTCTCTCTCTCTCTCTCTCTCTCTCTACAAACGGCTGAGTTGTATGGGTGTCCTTTTCTGGATAACAAACATAAGCGAATAAAATTCATAACAAACCGAGATTATTGTAAAAATAAATATGTTTTCAAAATATCGTTATATTTTAAAAACATATTTTATACAATGAAAAGTGAGGCAGGCAGTGGCTTTAGTTTCGAAGGCATTGTTTTATCATTTTTTAACGTCAAATATCTGCAATATTATTTTATGAGTGCACGTGCTGTGTGTTTGCTTATCAAATTGTGATTATGAATATACATATTAGCGAATATTTGACAAGTTTTAGAAAACTATCTCACGTTATTTACTAGCGTTTGTGGAGTCCATAAAAAGATATTCATTATTATGTTGTGCATTTCAATAAAAAAAATCAAACCTTCTATTTTTAAGTTGCCGTGAATACGTTTTTTTGACAATATGGCGTCTTACTAGTATGTGACGTCACACAACGTCAAACGATACAATGTAATGTCACTTTGACGGGAAGTTTACTAGCGTGTGATGTCATTTTAGCCAATCCCAGGCATTTTCGGTAACGTCACCATAGAACAAAAACATAATTTTCTATTTAATAGTTTTTCAGAAAATTTAATAATTAATTGTTTACTCATAATAGTGAAATCGCTGCTAATATTCATATTAAATACAGATAGATGCCAACAATTAGTACTTTGCAAACTGTCGGAAAGCCTATCGTGTGCATTACTTAATTTAAGTGGTACACTTTTGAGACGCTGGTACCTTTTGATTGATTTAATCTAAGATTTGTTTAATTACTTAGGTCCACTTGCAGCAAATTTTATGAATCTTAATTTAACTAAAACTAAATTTAGCCCAATCAATATATATTTTTGTAATAATTTGAATAAATAATGTCAAATTGACGTTTTGACATTTTTCTATAGGTTAGCTTTAGTTGAATAGAGATTTAGCAAATTTGCTGGAAAGTGGTCCTTACCGTCCACTTGTAGCAATTTAAGTAAAACTAGATATTATCCCATACAATTACGTCATATTGACGTTGACGATTTGACATTTTTCTATGGGTTGAATCTAGTTTTAGTTGAATGGCGATAAAACATTTCAAGTGGGCTCGAATTTACTAAGTACAAAACAGTACTCATCCCTTCAGATAAAAAATAAACTATCATGTATTCGGAACATACTTTGTTAAAACATTTACCTGAATCGATAATAAATGCAATTTCTTCTTTACAGAAGGAGATCAAGGATCTTGGGAGAGTGGTCTTTCCTACGAGTGCCGTTCCCTGCTCTTCAAGGCGCTTCACAACCTCATCGAAAGGTGAGCACTCTATATTTAGCTAATATGCCGACTATATCTTCAATCGGATTTATGAGATTACATTTTGTACTATCCATTTTGTGGTGCGTATGTCTGTGCCTATGCATGTGCACTAGGGTTGCCAGATGCTGGCTTATGTCCATTCCGCGCCCCCCCCCCCCACTAGAAATAAAAAATAAAATCAAAATATAGGTCAGTAACGAATGCCTTTATATGGCATGCTTCTGTCGCCCCTCGCAGGTAGGTGTGGGTATATTACCCATTGTGACAAATAAAGGTGTTTGGGGATTCCGGGACAATAAGGTCTAAATACTGGACACGGGAAAAGACGCAAAATTCCGGGACAATCCCGGATTTCCTTAATCTGCACTGCAACTATCCAAACGTTGACCTTTTATAATATCCGTTAAAGACCGTTAAACAATGCAATACAGCATTGACGCTAGGGATCTACTCTTGAGCCACTTACAATACTTGTTATTTTTATAACAGTAGTTACAGCATATATTTAATATCAGCAGTCCATTGTAAAGCGCCCGTGGTCTCGCAATAACTAGCATATTGACTAATCATCTCTTTCTTTTATAGCGTTGACGTAACGCTGGAAAATAAATTTTGTAGCTCAATTAGTCACTCGCCTTACCAACTCGTGCAGTTGTTTGCAACGGCAACATTTACATGGTCTCTTTCAATAGCTTTCTTTATTCCATTTTTTCTCTCTCTTTATTTTGGCAGCAAAAAGTCGTTTGGAGGTATATTACAAATAGGGATGATGACCAATTTTTTTTCTTCGTTTATCAGGTAGATTATCAAAAAGTATTGGACACGTATTTTTTCTTTTTTCACATAATATAAACATTGCAGAGATATATTGATTTGAAAAGTCGCATGACGTCACGTTTGAGTACACTTTTAAGTGAAAATTCACTAAAAAGTGACGTCCCGAGCCCCTACTCCCAAACTTTGACGCGCTATAACTTTATCATTTTTTGGTTGATTGCCCAAAGAAAAAATACGTGTGCATTATTTTTTTGATCATCTAACTGACGGACTTATTAGAATTTCGTTTACTGTACCCCGTCATCACCCCTATTATACATCAGTTATGAGTAAAGACCTATAGTGCCAAAAAGTGATTAAAACATTTATTTTATTTTTAGCTATTATTGCAGCTGTAGTTTCTTTTTATTCCTCTGCCATCTTTTAATATGAACAAACAAAGTGATGAGTCGCGTTTAAACGTTAAAATTGCACCTGGTTGCGCAGACGCTGGCGGTCGGGCGGCATAGTACATCGCTCTTCATTGTAGCTCGAAGGTCGATGCAAGGCGCGGGGCGTTCTAATGTCGTTTTTTGTTTCTCAAACAGCTTGTCTTAGGAATACAGCACCAGCGGAGCTTTTAACACTCACATTCCTAAAAAGATTACATATTGAAACTAATTTTCACGCAGTTCATAATAATTAGTTCAGACTCGTTGTACATTTGTGAACTAGAAAACATTTTTAACAAAAATAAGACTGACTTCATAAGAAGATAACCAATAAAAAGTAAGAAATAAATGATATATTTAGAGTTCATATTTTAAAATCAAATTAACACTGCCATTAATATTAAGTTAAAATTGCGCTTAATTTTGCTGCAATGTGTTTTTATTGGTGAAGACATGTAATTGGCTTTTTGTTATTATTAAAGGTTTTACGCTTATATTAAAAAAAACTGATGGTCTTCCAAAAAATAAATAAACATTTGGATTCGGTGCCACCATGATGATAGATCTGTTTAGCCATTTACTGCTTGGGTTGGTATGGCCCTGACATGAAATGTTAATTTGACTTTAAATGTACTTTAGATATAAGTAAAGAATACGTATGATTTCTTTCTTTTTAGTGGTTTCGCAATATATAATAATAATAAATAATAAATATTTCCAAAACTCACACCTATTAGCCTAGCCCCAAAGTAAGCACTGTAAGGCTTGTGTTATGGGATACTAGGGTAACGGATAGAATACATATACTGGACATATATAAATATATTTATATGGGAAATACATATTATACATCCATGACTGGAAACAAATGCTCGTATTCATCACACAAGCATCTGCCCCCACCGGGATTCGAACCCGGGACCTCTCGAGCCGGCGACACCATGAAACCCGGCGTACAAACCACTCTGCCATGAAGTCAATTTTTATATTTGTTAAAATGGTTTTCTAATTCACAAAGGTGCAACGAGTCTTTATTTAAACTTATCAAGTTTAGTGTGGTTTGCTTGTTACTAGGTGATTACATGTGCTCTTCTCCCGGTCCTGAGAGACTCGGCATGAACGAAATCCGAGCGTGTCGTTGACCCCCGGTGCGCGGTGCGCGGCACGTCAAAGCGACAATGCGTCGTCGTCGGATCGCGACCGCGCGCGACCGACCATTTTACGATACGCGCACTAATGTAGTAATGATGGCCGACTGGGCCTGGGCTCGATACGAACCGCTTTTTTTAACACTTTGACAATGGAATCCGTCCAAGCTTTTAACTTTAACTCTACTATCAGTTTGAGACATCTTTCATAATTATCATGTAGCAGATATTGTTTATTTAATATAATCTTAATACTAGTAGGTCATGTTCATAGAAGGAATTAATACGTTGTAAGTTTTATTAAAGGAAAATATAAGCCTTTTTAAAATAATTACCTCACTAATAAAATTCTGCTTGTGGCTTGAGTGAGCTGCCTTAACTATAGCTACCATTCCAGTTGACATCAACTGATGGGTATAGTTTTCATACGTGTTTATACTTTCTTAGCAGAGGTCTAGAGGTCAATGATCGCTATCAACATTGTTGGCTCGTGTTGAAAGAAACTGTTATGTTAACATAATTGAGTTTTGTCATTCACTTCATTCATTTTATGTCATTGTATGAAAATAACTAATAAATTTATGAATAATATATTTGTGTAAAAGGACGTTTAGAAGGAGAAATTTAAAGTTAATTGACTAGCCTATACATTACACATTATGAATTTGATCCGATTTACTTGCTTCAAATCTGGTAATACGCACCGCTCTCGTTCACCTGCGCGTGCGCCGACCCTCGCTTCACAATTTGCTCTTTGCATTCGATTGTTACGTTGCATGCGCAATGCAATGTAAAAATACTCCCAACCAACTACAGATCCATGTTGTTTGTATTGCACTATGTCTAAAAACGTATGCTGATTAATATCATCAGTCTGTGTGTATAATACGTTTTATTAATATTCGTGACGCGTGACCTGTTTCGAGACAAAGGTAGATTTTATATTCTAAATTATTTTTTTTAAAACGTAATGCCATTAATTTTAGCATAGACAAGGTGTGGTACCTATTTTTCTTGTGTGGCTGACGGACAACATGTTTCTTATGTCTATTGTGTAAACAAATAATAATGTCAACTGAATGTAACTATTAAACAACGCATCGAGTTTTCAATCTGTGATTTTTTTTAAATATTCATAAAAAATCTGTGCAATATTATCGTATTTATATTGACCGATTTTTAAGTTACGATTTTTGGTAAAAAAATCTTTGCGGTGGATTCTCATAGGAAATCAATGCCAGTGAAAATGATCGAGATGATATTGAAAAAGTTTCCTACATTCAATACTTTAGGAATTTATCGCGAAACTAAATTACTTAGGTGTAGTTTACTCTCAATTCCTTATCGGACTTCTGGACCAAAGAGATATAATTTATTTTATTTATTTATTTATCATCAACAAGTTTCAACAGCGTTTTACACAATATAATCTAATATAAAATTTTAAACGGTACTTTAGCCAATTACAGAAACTCACTTTGTATTTAATTTAAAAATTAAAATGATAACGTAGGGTAGAAATTACAAATTAACAATAATATAAAAGAAATACCAACAAAGATTCAAATTAATTTTGCGATAAATATAAATACCTATATAAATCAGAATTATAAAAGGAGCATGATAACTAACTTTGTGTAAATGAGTGTCTACGTAAGTGTTTGGTGTAGCGTGTGTGTGTGTGTGTGTGTGTGAGTGTGCATGCCTTCCGTTAAAAAAAAAAAATAATCATATCGAAACGAGCCGACAAAAACAGCGAAATGCATGAGCCGGAGCCTGTGCGCGTAGTCGGTTGTGCACATTGCGTAGGTAGGTATCTTATCACATTTTTCGTAATTTCATAAGCTAAGGTCTTCCGATGGGTCTTTGGTAGTTTCGACCCACTAGGGATTTGACCCGCGAAGCGAACCGTTCATGGGTCGAAACGACCAAAGACTCCTTCCGATTCGTACTCGCTACATAAAATTGGATGACGCATGAAAATGCCGCCAATCATCATCACAAATGGCAAAACTTTGCTACATGCTACGATAGTGGTACCAATTCTGGCGTGATTCTCTACACTTAAAATTAAATTTAACATCAGTCTCTCCTTTTCATTCTGTATAGAGAATGACAAGGATATACTGCTGTCAAATCTAAGTTTAGGTTTAGAGAATCATGCCAGAATCGACACCATTGTCTAATTTAAATATCTATAAGTCGAGCAGTCCTATGACTATACTTTATAAGTAATTAACAATGAGTCGCTCCAAGCTTTTGCAACAATTATAATAAATTGAGCATTACGCAAGTCGGTGCGAATAACAACATGACGATTATTCATGTACACTATGACTCTATTGTCGATATACTCACTCACGATCGGCTCTGACACAATGAATTCCCAGTGGCTTTTAAATGACTATATTTTCAGATTAACTCCTGACCTTGCACTCGACAAACCCTATTGAGATTTGAATTGTTTCTAGCAGTCTTTCACTACTTCTGCCAAACTAGGTTAATCCTTACTAAGCTTTGTATGTTTGATTCCAGATGTCTTCTTTCGCGAGACTTCGTGAGGCTCGGAAAGTGGTTCGTTCAACCTTACGATGGCGACGAAGAGGATGTTGGCAAAAGGTTACAATGACAACTTATTAATATGATGAAATTACTGACCGTTTTGCTACCGCGGCCCTGATGGCCGTGTCGAATTGTCTCTAGTCTTTCTTAGGCTGCAAGGCAGCGCCATCTCTTCGCATTGTAGGTTACCCACAATGTGAAATGAATAGGTGTACAAGTATTAAACATTTGAAATAGAAATTATATAAAAAGACTATGATGAAATTAATTTGAAATTTACAGTACTTTAATTTGAATTAGAATCTTTCGATAGAGAAAGCTACATGTGAAAACGTTTCACATGCTACTTCTGATATAAATGTTGCTTTGTACAGTATAGGTTATACAGACAGGGAGGCATCCAAGAGTGGAGCGCCTTAGGCGAATAATTTCTAAGCGCTTCAGTGGGCTAGACCATCTATTTTATAATGGCATCAGTCCTTCGCCTCGGGCGATCGCTTCGCCCTTAATTGAATAGCTAACCATACAGACAAGCGGAGGGTTAGAATACCGAATTAACGATACAACTTCTTTAAATAAGTCTGTCTATCCGTATTTAAATCTTAAAAAGATATCCTAAACTAAATTGTCCTAATTTTTGTAACGCCATTGATCATCAAAGACCTAGTTTGGACGCTGTCAATGTATTTCGTGATGTTCGGAATATCAAAGGACACCCGGCATTTTGTGCCAAAGTTGTATACTTTTTATTTTTTTTATCTGTGTTTCATAATTGGGTAACGTAGTCTGGCAATACTTGTCATCAGCAGCTAGCTGTCAATGTCAAATACGTAGGTTTGTCAATATAACCTCTATGTGTAGCCGGGTCGTCAAGAGAAAAACAGTTTGCGGGAGCGGATGCGAAATGCGAATGATTTTTTTGTTTGTATTTAAGGATTGTCAAATTGTCATTTGGTTTTTTATTTAGAAAAAGCAAAGGAATAATGGTTTTTACAGTCACTTGAGTAATATTTTGAAGTAAAATTTTGTCCCTTGAAGATTTAGGATTTCCATATCAAAAAATATTAATCATTATATAACTTCTTTCCACGATTCACTAAAAATAAGGCAAAAGTAGTTTTGTGTTGCAAATAATTTTGGCTTTATTTTGAGACCAAATTCAATTTTATACAAGTTTAGCATTTTTTCTATGAAAAGTGCCGGGTCTCCTTTATATGCCTGTCAACCCTTATACCTACTAACACAAAGGACCAATTATATGATAAGGTTCGTCTTTAGTACATTAGGTATATTTGACCCGGTTATCTTATAATGGAAGTAAAATCCGAAGCAGTTACAATTGGCTGTTCTCGAATACGGTCAGTGGCAACACATCGGCCGGTCACTTCCCAGATTAATGTGAGGCTATCTGTATTGCACTCTTCAAGGCACTCGAGTCCGATTTCGTTCCACCTCACACATTTGTAATTAATAAATATTTTTTTGTTTCCAACACACACCAATTAGCCTAGTCCCAAAGTAAGCAGTGTAGGCTGGTGTTATGGGATACTAGGGTAACGGATAGAATACATAGTTTTTCTTTTAGTTTTTTACCAATTCATATATATTTATATAGATATACATATTAAACATCCATGACTGGAATACAAATGCTCGTATTCATCACACAAACATTGCCCCCACCGGGATTCGAACCCGGAACCTCTCGAGTAGGTGCCACCATGAAACCCGCCGTACATACCACTCGGGCACGGAGGACGTCAATTGCAAAGCGGCTTATAAAAACTAAATCAGTCGGGCTTTTCTCATCTGTTACTGAACTGTAGAAAGTTAATATTGTGATCATAATAAAAGATGATGTAAATCTAAGAGGTTTTCACGCACACAGTCCATTAAATAAAACACGTTTCAAAGGTATAGATCAATGGTTCCCAACCAGTGATCCGCAGAAGCCCAAATATGGTCCGCGAATGAATTTGAATTTAGCGGGCGCGTCCACTAAAAATATTACTATTTCTTTTTATTTAATTTCATATTAGATTTTTAATTAAAGTTTCAGTTTGATTAAAAATTATTAACAGTTTATTTTTATTACACTAAAATTTAGTTATTTAGTGACTAAATAGTGGTCCTTGCCAAAAAAAATTATGTAAAAGTGGTCCCTGACCAATAAAACGTTGGGAACCCCTGGTATAGATGCACTGACTTATTTATTTATTTACGTTTTGCATCCTTCTCAGGCTGCGTCCTCAGAATTATGATTTCATTTTGGAATTTTGAAAAGAATGCGAAACGTCAATAAATAAATAAATCAGTGCATCTATACATTCGAAACTTGTTTTATTTAAAACTAAGCTCCGTAATACAGAATGACAACTAAGTGTTGTTCTTTACCTGAGTACAGTTAGAAAGGGATATCGCTATGTGCTATATATAGCGACATCCCTTTCTAACTATGCTCAAGACTAGATCAATCACTGAGAATCTTTCTATAATACGGGTCTAAGAATTCAAACTTGAGACATTAAGTTTTCTGTCTTAAACTGGGCTAACCTGATATGCGGACATAAAATGCAGCACGTAACATCATTATGTTATTCTACACACTCACTGTAAAGCAGCTTGCACTTTCTATTTCTTGCTTACATTTTTGGTACTAATACATTGAGAATATTGCGATGAAGATGAAAGGCAATTTCGTTATCTACATAGGTGTTTCCTCATTACCATAACTTATTGACAGTATAGAGATAAAACTTTCCATTTCGTTAATGGAATGGTAGTCAAGAGAGAACGCGACGATCAAACGACCGTCACGGATACGGCAATGGGTGTCGTTAACATTCTCATTATTGTCTTGTATAGCTTGTAGGAAGCGTCACTTAACATCAGGTGGGGCTGAGTCGTTTGTCGGACCAATCTATATAAAAAAAGTACAATTGCATTTGAGGAGCTGGCGGACAAAACGGTATAATTACATAAAATAAAATTTTACAGGAGCTGTATAAAACTGAATGACATACCTACAGTGAGCTTTTGGCATGGTTTTTAATTCATAAATTTAGTAATTTTAACACTATTTTAGATGGAAAATTATTTGAGATTCAAATTCAACGATCCCGAAAGATTCGGTCTGTAAAAAAAGGAGTTTAACCAGCTGCTTAATTATATCGTTTTGTTCGCCAGCTCGTCATTTATTGTATTATTAGCTTGTAAGAAGCACTTGAAGTTTTTTTTTGCATCATTTATATATTAACTGTTACAATTATCCTCATGTACATGTAGAAACAGGGGTTAGGTAGTAATAGCTACATAGATAGATCAATATCACATTTATTGAAACAAACATCTGTTGCTGCGTTCCAACTCTGCTGATATTATATAATAGCATTAATGCTTATATATAAATATATACTAGGATTAGGATTTTAAAATTTTTACTTTTTATTCCGGAAGAATATGATATCTGAATGGATAAGACCCTCAAACTTGCTATTTATAATAAATAAAAAAATATTAAAATTTATGCTAGTTTAATCAGGTGAATTGTTTTTAATAGCTATACCAACTAAGTAAATATTTTCTTCGACCCATTTGACTGATATGTGGCCTGCGTTGAGATAACATTCCATCCTGTTCAATAAGATTAAGATACAATTTGTGTAGTTGTATTGTTATTTACATAACTACATACTTTTTTTTACAAAATTACAAACTTCAATAACAAGCTACATACACACTTTAAACAATTAGATTATTTAATTTATCTGAATCGGTGATTACGAACACACATTGACAGCGCCCTTATTCCTTAACAATAAGATCAATTTTCGTTGAACCAGTGTATAGTAATGATGTACAATTTGTTTGTGTTTTCCCCCTCCAGCCCTTGGCACCTGTCGTTTTCGTTCGCGTTTTTCTTGCACGGCGAGAGTACGGTTTGCGCGTCCGTGGACGTACGCCAACACCCGCCCGTGCGTACGCTGACGCCGAAGCGGCTCGCGCGACTCAACGCCAACGATCACCAACCCCATGCGAAAGGTAACCAAATCCTTTATAATATTTCTTCAAAGACCATATATGTAATAGCATTCGATTACCAACTCCTCAAATTCGATTTGGGCATCTCTTATCTATTAGACAAGTCCGTCCGTCCATCCGTCTGTCTGTGGTGCTGTTTCAGCGGCCAAACCGTAAGAGATAGATAAAGAGAATATTTAAGTTATAAGTTAAGAATAGTCTGATAAGACTACAAACCGGATTTGAGTAACGTAGCACTTCCGGTTTTCGAGAAATCACGAATTTCAAACGAAACCACACAAAATCTCCAAAGTTCTCAATTAATTAAATACATTTTTTTTTAAATCAGGTTTTGGTGAACATTTGGTTCACTGGTTTGCTAGTGATTCTATAATCTTAAAATTAAATGTGACAACAGTGTATCCCTGTCGTTCTCTATATAGAATGAGTAGGACAGACTGATGCTAAATGTAGTTTTAAGTTTAGATAATCATGGGAGAATTGACTCCATTAGTTGTTTTGAATCATTACAAATTTCATACCGGGTTTTATTCATGTTATGGAAGTAAAATTTGAAGCAGTTACAATTGACTGTTCTCGAATGCGGTCAGTGGCAACACATCGGCCGGTCACTTCCCAGATTAATGTGAGGCTATCTGTATTGTACTCTTCAAGGCATCTGAGTGCGATTTCGTTCCACCTCATACATTTCAATACTTTCTAGATATCTAGATGTTATTGGGTTCAACATACAATTACTGAGTATCAAAGCCAGATATGAAGATTTTGTGGATTTGGTATCTCAACTGTTGAGATATACTGTTTTTATTGACAACACAATGTTCAGTTTAGTTGCTTCTTAATGCAGTTACATATGTCTAAACTTCTATAAGTTATCTATTACTTAACTACATAAATTATGCTAATGTGTGATTTGTATATGAAAAAATAAACAATTTGCATTGTATGTGTACAGTGATCCTGGCGCCGTTCGGTCTGGAGGGCACGGTGACGGGGCGCGAGTGGGGCGAGGCGGACGCGGCCACGGCCCGCCTGCTCGACGCCTGGCGACAGCTCTACCCTCTCGAGCAGGGCTGCGGCGCTGTCGAGGTCCCGCACATACGCTTCTATGTGGCTATAAAACGCGCTCTTTCCGCGTTCGCGGTCAATGTGGCTGCAATCCGCACACCAATCCATAAATATGGTCATAGTGCAGTGTTCAATGTAAAGTGCATCCGTTCGGCACGCCGTTTCCCTGTGTGGCTATTATACGCGCGCTTCTCCACTTACGCGTTTAAAGTGCAGTGTTCAGTGAAAAGTGCAGGGCTGTGGTGCTATGGAGGTGCGTTACCTATACCGCTGTGGAGCTATTATACGGCGTTTGCTCCACAAATACGGCCATAGTGCAGTGTTCAGTGCAAAGTGCAAAGTGAAGTGATAATGTGTCAGAATTAGAGTGGAGTAAAATGCTGCTGGGTATGGAATTTAATATTTTTTGGCTCTCTCCTATGTGTGATATTGGTAGAATTGTGGTAGACGCAATGGAGGAAGAAAAAGGTATGGAAAACGAAAAGGAGATAATCTTGATTTCCACTATATTATGCTTGATGACCAATAGAGTTTTCTTGCCAACCAATATCTCACATTAGTGTGCTCACATATAATTGATTTTGAGTATAAACATAGTGATATCTGGCTGAATATCAATACAAACAGACCACAAAAACTTGCCTATTAAAATGATCCCTAAATTTTGAAAACATATACATACAATAGGGAAACTTTGTATTAGTTCTTTTGTTAATCTTGAGCAGGAGTTCCTCTAAGTGAATTTCTGATATGCGGAAAGAGAAGCTCAATCAAAGTAACTAATGGGTATCCTGCAGCTATGATGGTACCACTGCATGAACAGCATCTGCTTATTAAAGACTATATTGATGTAGTTACACATGAAAAGAAATGTGAAATTCTTCTGAATCTATATATAAAACTCAAAGGTGAATGACTGACATAGTGATCTCTCAATGCACATCCCAAACCACTAGACGGATCGGGCTGAAATTTGGCATGCAGGTAGATGTTATGACGTAGGCATCCGCTAAGAAAGGATTTTGATCAATTCTACCCTGAAGCAAAGCGAGGGCGGGCCACTAGATCATATAAATTTTATTCTTATTCTATAACTATACCTGCCTGCCTTCTTAAGAATTAATCTTAAGAAGGTGAACCACATAAATCGACAAAGTAGCTTTTTAATGCAAACTGTAAATTTGCTCATAATAATACACATTTTTGTCCAATAGTTTGGAGAACTTAAATTACTGTCAATTTTTTAATTAAAAATGTTTTTGGTTGGGCCTATGTTACCCAAAACAAAGTAAAATGAAGTAGAAAGTAAATCATATAAATAAATACTGATTTACCTGATGTTAGTTATCTGAATTATCAATTTTCTAGACTGCAAGAATTAAGACTATTATCACTTCATAATGTATCAACAAAAAATATTAACTACATTGTCAACACACCAATATCAATGTTGATGTTTGTTGTTATCAATGTTATTTTATAGCTTTTATGATTTTTTTAAACCAATGCATTTGTTATCATTTGCATATCATTATATCAAACAAAAATCTTCATTTAATTCATAGTTTAAATATTATGATAGAGATCTTATGATAATTTAGGCACTATTGTAAAAATTCAAAACTTTCTTATAAGTTATACACTTATCAATTAGTACTTATCACAAATAGCCACTTACAATGAAATTCCTTTAAAATTTAAAGATCACTGAATTATTTTCTGTTAATGCAAAAGGGTGTTCAAACTGGTACAATTTTAAAAACAAAATTAAACATCCATTCTCAAAAAACATCAAATTGATTTAAAATTTAATTTACTTGCATGTTGTCTCATTCTATTCTTATTGTGAAGAAAGTGATAGCACCAACTTTAGTCAAACTGAAAAGCCCATTGATTTCTCTGAGTGTACTGTTAGTCTTTTCATGCTATTGGACACTTGGACATTATATTTAGTAAGTTCTTCTTTTTGATGTCAGTTAAAAATGAATAAAACGACTTAACCAGGCAGGCATAAGAATAGATATTAAAGTGACGCTGATTGAGCACTGTGATACTTATTCTAAACCTTATATGGTTTTTTTTTATATGTTATGGATATTAATATGTTCATGGATATCTTCTTCATGTTTAAAAGGAGATCGGGACCACTGAAAAGGAACAGTGAAAAGTTTCAATCACCATAATCTAGTTGGAAACATAGAAAGAATTATTTAGGAAAAGCAAAAATGGAAGATGAAACTGGTCCTGGCAGAGATTCAGGCAGTTTGTAAGACTTATATACCATTCATATAGAAATAATATCAAAAGTGAAATGATATTGGATATATTCCTTAATGACATGGGAGAACTGGACCATTGAAACAGATAGCAAGAGAAGATTTGTGATTCATTGGAATAACACAAGATGTGTGTAATAGAATTATAGAGGATCCTAAATCTTGCATCTAATTAATGCAGCTTTATGCACATAGTTATGTAGATAAACTGACTATAAAAGTGTGTGTTACTAAAAAGTGTAAAATTGAAGACTTATTATTTGTGTGATGTGCTTCTGCTACGTGTTTGTGGAGTTGCGTACGTCTAATAGGAAAAAATATGCTGCAATTAGTTTATGTAACAAAATGAACATGGTTTTTATTGAAGAAATTACTGTTTGGGAATTAATTATTGTGATGTGATTTCATTTAGATTACTAGTCAATGGAATCTTGTTTACCAACATTTATAGCATAAATAAATGTCACACTGAATATTATTCATTTTATTAGTATTAAAGAAAATCTTATTTTTGTTGGGGCTTCAGCCACTAGCAGACTATGCCAGTCTTAAATGTAAATTATTCAGACACTATTCAAAACATTTTCGAATTTGTCCCTGATTTGATTGGTCCAAAGAATTGTTCAAAGGATTTTGAACCCAAACACACATGACTTTTTGCTTGTTGCATATGCAGGATCTGTATAATCAATGCTGGTTTAAAAACTACAGCATTAATTCAACAATTCTTAAGAATTGGAAAATTCTAAACATTTTATGAATATAATCATGTGGTTGAGATGGGTCTGTATGTATAGTCTTTATATTGATAATGTATTATCGATAATAAATTTATTTCAAATCATCGAAATTTATTGGAAATAAATGTGTGCTAAAGTGACATATATTTTGCTATCTTATCAACACAACTCTCCAAAATTCTGATATGATATAATATAAGAAATGAAATCACATACAGAATAAATACACAAACAAACGCAAACTTAGGAAAAATGTTATTTAAAGAGGCTGGGGACTGTTGGAACTAATTTTGATTGTTTTATTTGTATTGAAACTTTTACAAGCATGGACAATTGAAATTTCATATCACAAGTTCCTTCACGCTTAGAGACCATGTTAGGCCTTCTGCCCCAGTTATATCGCCAATTTTTAGCGCTCTCAATTGATGACAAAATATTACATTGTCTACTTGTTTCAAATTTGTATAAAATATATTATTTTTGGGCTATGATATAAATTGATATATTATTATTAATGTGACTGAAGTGGACCTCAATTAATGTTGCCATTTAATATTGAGGACACTGTAAAAAGTAAAACGAAAATATTGCTATTGCTTAGTTCTTGCTTGTTCTTCATAGTACAAGGTCTTCTATGAACTAATTACGTAGCTTTTTGACCTTTATAAGGGCTTGTAAACAGGACCAGTAGAGTTCATCGATTAGGATAGAGCGTGATTGTGTTTCATTGCACTCGTCCCATGCTTTAATTTTACTTTACACTGGAAAGTTTTGTTAAATTTGTGGTTCCCTGCTATTTGGCGCCTAATTCAACCGCTTCATTTGTTATACTCTCTTGAAATACCCGAATGAAGAAGTCATAATAATGTTAATCATTGAAGTGTAAAAGAACAATGCATTTACAATGTTTCACGTTATGAACGCCGATTTAAATGAGGTAACCACGTAATCTGGCAAAGCTCGTGCTTGTGCCAGATTGTGTAGAGCACACCAAAGATTTGGCTATATACGATACTCTAAATATTTATGCTAGGAGTGTGTCCCCGTAGTATGAGCACCAAATTTTACATTTTAACATGTTTTTTTCGCGTCTAACTGTCAAACTCTATAGTAATTTGACATTTGAGCATGATGAAAACGCTTTTATATATCATATCGCGGTGCTCATGCTAGAGGAGCTGACCTTGTTATGAGTGGGAGAGTAAACTTGTGTTTGTGGTATGGTACGCAGGTGGTCTGTGGCGGAGCTCGCATGCGGTACCCGCTGCCGTACGCGCTGGTGACGGAGATGGAGGCGCGCGCGCCGCACCCGCCACCCGCCGCCGCGCTCGCGCGCCGCGCGCTGCACGCCCTCACCACGCCCGCGCCGCACCAGGTATACACACACAGGCCGGCGCACTATGAGCATCGACACATGCGGCACCCGCTGCCGTACGCGCTGGTGACGGAGATGGAGGCGCGCGCGCCGCACCCGCCACCCGCCGCCGCGCTCGCGCGCCGCGCGCTGCACGCCCTCACCACGCCCGCGCCGCACCAGGTATACACACACAGGCCGGCGCACTATGAGCATCGACACATGCGGCACCCGCTGCCGTACGCGCTGGTGACGGAGATGGAGGCGCGCGCGCCGCACCCGCCACCCGCCGCCGCGCTCGCGCGCCGCGCGCTGCACGCCCTCACCACGCCCGCGCCGCACCAGGTATACACACACAGGCCGGCGCACTATGAGCATCGACACATGCGGCACCCGCTGCCGTACGCGCTGGTGACGGAGATGGAGGCGCGCGCGCCGCACCCGCCACCCGCCGCCGCGCTCGCGCGCCGCGCGCCGCGCGCTGCACGCCCTCACCACGCCCGCGCCGCACCAGGTATACACACACAGGCCGGCGCACTATGAGCATCGACACATGCGGCACCCGCTGCCGTACGCGCTGGTGACGGAGATGGAGGCGCGCGCGCCGCACCCGCCACCCGCCGCCGCGCTCGCGCGCCGCGCGCTGCACGCCCTCACCACGCCCGCGCCGCACCAGGTATACACACACAGGCCGGCGCACTATGAGCATCGACACATGCGGTACCCGCTGCCGTACGCGCTGGTGACGGAGATGGAGGCGCGCGCGCCGCACCCGCCACCCGCCGCCGCGCTCGCGCGCCGCGCGCTGCACGCCCTCACCACGCCCGCGCCGCACCAGGTATACACACACAGGCCGGCGCACTATGAGCATCGACACATGCGGCACCCGCTGCCGTACGCGCTGGTGACGGAGATGGAGGCGCGCGCGCCGCACCCGCCACCCGCCGCCGCGCTCGCGCGCCGCGCGCCGCGCGCTGCACGCCCTCACCACGCCCGCGCCGCACCAGGTATACACACACAGGCCGGCGCACTATGAGCATCGACACATGCGGCACCCGCTGCCGTACGCGCTGGTGACGGAGATGGAGGCGCGCGCGCCGCACCCGCCACCCGCCGCCGCGCTCGCGCGCCGCGCGCTGCACGCCCTCACCACGCCCGCGCCGCACCAGGTATACACACACAGGCCGGCGCACTATGAGCATCGACACATGCGGCACCCGCTGCCGTACGCGCTGGTGACGGAGATGGAGGCGCGCGCGCCGCACCCGCCACCCGCCGCCGCGCTCGCGCGCCGCGCGCTGCACGCCCTCACCACGCCCGCGCCGCACCAGGTATACACACACAGGCCGGCGCACTATGAGCATCGACACATGCGGCACCCGCTGCCGTACGCGCTGGTGACGGAGATGGAGGCGCGCGCGCCGCACCCGCCACCCGCCGCCGCGCTCGCGCGCCGCGCGCTGCACGCCCTCACCACGCCCGCGCCGCACCAGGTATACACACACAGGCCGGCGCACTATGAGCATCGACACATGCGGCACCCGCTGCCGTACGCGCTGGTGACGGAGATGGAGGCGCGCGCGCCGCACCCGCCACCCGCCGCCGCGCTCGCGCGCCGCGCGCCGCGCGCTGCACGCCCTCACCACGCCCGCGCCGCACCAGGTATACACACACAGGCCGGCGCACTATGAGCATCGACACATGCGGCACCCGCTGCCGTACGCGCTGGTGACGGAGATGGAGGCGCGCGCGCCGCACCCGCCACCCGCCGCCGCGCTCGCGCGCCGCGCGCTGCACGCCCTCACCACGCCCGCGCCGCACCAGGTATACACACACAGGCCGGCGCACTATGAGCATCGACACATGCGGCACCCGCTGCCGTACGCGCTGGTGACGGAGATGGAGGCGCGCGCGCCGCACCCGCCACCCGCCGCCGCGCTCGCGCGCCGCGCGCTGCACGCCCTCACCACGCCCGCGCCGCACCAGGTATACACACACAGGCCGGCGCACTATGAGCATCGACACATGCGGTACCCGCTGCCGTACGCGCTGGTGACGGAGATGGAGGCGCGCGCGCCGCACCCGCCACCCGCCGCCGCGCTCGCGCGCCGCGCGCTGCACGCCCTCACCACGCCCGCGCCGCACCAGGTATACACACACAGGCCGGCGCACTATGAGCATCGACACATGCGGCACCCGCTGCCGTACGCGCTGGTGACGGAGATGGAGGCGCGCGCGCCGCACCCGCCACCCGCCGCCGCGCTCGCGCGCCGCGCGCTGCACGCCCTCACCACGCCCGCGCCGCACCAGGTATACACACACAGGCCGGCGCACTATGAGCATCGACACATGCGGCACCCGCTGCCGTACGCGCTGGTGACGGAGATGGAGGCGCGCGCGCCGCACCCGCCACCCGCCGCCGCGCTCGCGCGCCGCGCGCTGCACGCCCTCACCACGCCCGCGCCGCACCAGGTATACACACACAGGCCGGCGCACTATGAGCATCGACACATGCGGCACCCGCTGCCGTACGCGCTGGTGACGGAGATGGAGGCGCGCGCGCCGCACCCGCCACCCGCCGCCGCGCTCGCGCGCCGCGCGCTGCACGCCCTCACCACGCCCGCGCCGCACCAGGTATACACACACAGGCCGGCGCACTATGAGCATCGACACATGCGGCACCCGCTGCCGTACGCGCTGGTGACGGAGATGGAGGCGCGCGCGCCGCACCCGCCACCCGCCGCCGCGCTCGCGCGCCGCGCGCTGCACGCCCTCACCACGCCCGCGCCGCACCAGGTATACACACACAGGCCGGCGCACTATGAGCATCGACACATGCGGCACCCGCTGCCGTACGCGCTGGTGACGGAGATGGAGGCGCGCGCGCCGCACCCGCCACCCGCCGCCGCGCTCGCGCGCCGCGCGCTGCACGCCCTCACCACGCCCGCGCCGCACCAGGTATACACACACAGGCCGGCGCACTATGAGCATCGACACATGCGGCACCCGCTGCCGTACGCGCTGGTGACGGAGATGGAGGCGCGCGCGCCGCACCCGCCACCCGCCGCCGCGCTCGCGCGCCGCGCGCCGCGCGCTGCACGCCCTCACCACGCCCGCGCCGCACCAGGTATACACACACAGGCCGGCGCACTATGAGCATCGACACATGCGGCACCCGCTGCCGTACGCGCTGGTGACGGAGATGGAGGCGCGCGCGCCGCACCCGCCACCCGCCGCCGCGCTCGCGCGCCGCGCGCTGCACGCCCTCACCACGCCCGCGCCGCACCAGGTATACACACACAGGCCGGCGCACTATGAGCATCGACACATGCGGCACCCGCTGCCGTACGCGCTGGTGACGGAGATGGAGGCGCGCGCGCCGCACCCGCCACCCGCCGCCGGCTTGTGCCTTAGTATTGGAGACATAATAAGCTGACAATGATGATAAAGAAAGGCAAAAATATCAAATTACATTCAAAACTGCCTGTACATTTTAAGGTGCCAAGTAGGTTTGGAGTTTTGTTCCTTGCACTTTATTTACTGGCTTCAAATTTAGTAAGAAAGACACTGGAAGATGGAAACAGAATTATCTTTAGTATTGTTGATTATTCTGAGTGATCTTCCTAAATTATTTAAAGAAACCCCAATAAATTGTATCCATTTCTCAAGTTCAAAATGGTGTACTGTGGCATATTTCTGACATTATATAGTTATCTGAAAGCAGACTACAAAATTAAAAACGACAAATCTGGCCATAACTCCTCATTATAATATTATACTTACGACTTTAATGCTGATAGAAATAAGATCGAAAATGTACGCATTCATACAACGAACTTGGCCGAATTTCATTTATATTTTCGTACCTCTGTTAATTTATAATTAATGCAAACTATTTATTTACTTATTGTCTGGTTATAGAAGTCTTAATTAATTATATTTTTTAAACTATTTACTAAAAAAATGCATTAACTGAGGTTGTTTACATTGTTCGAAAGTTTAAAATTACGGGCTATACAACGGGACGTGCGGTAAATCGTTTTAACTTACGCTTTTAATCCGAACCTGTGTCTCACTTTCATACTTAAAAGAAAAAGAGACGTAGTTCTAATTTTCACTATATGCACATGGCGCCATTTGGAAATTTGCACCTTTTTCTTATTAGAAAAAGTTTCTTCATTACTTAAATTAGGTATAAGTAGGTACTGTTTTCTCGCAAATGTGTATAACATTCGTGCGGACTTGGTGTTAACGAACACGTGACTAGCTAGGATACACAGGAATAACTAATATACCACATAATTTGTTATCGTAACGTCTTCTCAGTGTCGTTACGGAGAAAATATCATATCAAGTTATCAAATGCAAACCAATTTAAATATTAGAATCAGAAGATATGTTAACATTTTGTAATCATGCACATTGATGTGAATATGTTTAAGATTTCTGGTATTGTATCATTGTTTGTTTTTCTTTTCTTTTAAATTTGCAATATGTACGAGTCACGTACAGTAATCTTGTATATCTGCAGAGCAAGTATAACCTACTTTAATCACGTAGCTGTATCTAAAGAAATGCATCATAATACGTCATTGTATTAACTATATAAAAACACATATTTTACATAATAAATCAATGCTCGTCATGCATTCAACAGTAACAGTTGTCTTTCTTCCTTCATCCTAATATCATTATGTAGGGGTGACCCCCTACAGTATCGTCTTCTCGTTTGTAATCACTAACTTACCTCACTAATATCATAAATAACTGTTACAGTCATCCGAGGTGTGCTACAGTGAGTGTTCGAGCGATAAGGGCGAAGACTTTCTCGACCCGACCCGAAAGACGCCTTGCACCTGCGCCAAGTAAGTCATACGAAATAACTGCTACAATATTATAACGTACCCTATCTTATGTATCTTATATAATGTCGTCAGATCGAATATGCACTATGAATAAACAAGAATTTATTCAGGTCCATTGATATAAGTGTTCCGACGCAAGACATTCTGTCTCCCTCGCACGTTACTTAGGATAGCATGTGCGAGAGGGACACAATGTCTTACGTCATTTGCGATTCCTTTCTTTATTGACGCGAGTTATAGTAATTTTAATATATTTAAAATATAATCACTCTAGTACAGCTTTGTAGAGCATCTTCGATATGACCGACCAAGTAGAAAAATGCGAGCAGTATATAGCCGTAGTTGTATGAGCGTTGTGTGTTTTGCATTTATAATATCTAAGTATGTATGAAAGTAATTTTTAATTCATATTTTATGCATTCTAATGAGCTCGACTGATCACAGCCGAACGTGGACCTCGTTTGTTAGGGCATGGGGTATGTTCGACTGTGGTCTGTTTTATGTAGAAAAAGAGCTGCATCCGAGGGTACGGATCGCCGTGTAGATAGATAGGTAGATGTTATGTATGTTATCGTTTTTAGCGTTCTGTTTACTATTTATTTATATTTATAAGTAGAGATAAGCAGTAGAGGGTTGCAGCAGCTTAGATGGCGGCGAAGGAGACACTCACTTCCGGAAGCTTTTAGGATTTATTTCATTAAATATCTTATGGAAACCGTTGGGCAGGGAACGATAAAATATCTATCGCGTCTAGTTGTGCGAATTTATTTCCTAAACATTTCATAGAAACCTGCGGGAACGATTTAATATTTATCCCGTTTTGTTGTCGGTACTCATTTAGTCACATACATTTCAAAAAGAAAAAGTTGAGAAAAGCATTGGTTATTCTTTCGTCACGCAAGACACTTGCAGTGTCGATTCTCGGTACAGGCACGTATTCTCGTGTGACAAGATAGCGGTATGGACGCGCACTACACGCATTAAGTCGACCTCTCATCCGGGCGCGATCTCGTCTCGTGTTTCAAAAAAAAGTCGCGGGCTGTCAGTACGCACTACAAGCGTATAAACGACGTAGCAGCCGCGTAGTCTCGCGGACGAAGAGCACGATGTTTCCTTCGCCGCGTAGTCTTCTCGTACGGTCATGCGGGCGCGATCTCGGGTCGAACTGTCGTCCTTACGCGCGGGCGCTATCTCTCGGTACGGAGAGAGCGGGGTCAGTGCAGTGGGACAAGTGGGACAGTCGCCAGTGGTGTTGTCCGCAGATGGCGGCGCCGCCGTACGGGCCGTGCCCCGCGCCCCGAGCCCTTCCACCGCCGCCCCGTGGTGCCGCCCCGCGCCCGATCGCACAACCACGCGCACGCCGTTACGCGACCGCAAGCCCTGTGAGTACTGACCACTCACCATCCCACCACTTTACTCAGGGCACGCAAAAATATCTACCTCGATATACTTTACAGGCCGCGGCACGTAATTCTAGCGCTGAACAAAACGCGGAGGGGATAGCTGCGCATGGGTACGACTGGAGAGACAATCGGCGCAACGCACGCCCACGTGCAACTCGTTTCCCCCTAACACATCTTAATTTTTACTCCTGCGCAATAACGGTCTGTGCTAGAGTTTCGTGCCGCGACGTATTCTTCGCTTGCATGAGCAGCGCGATATGATAGATAGCTCGTTTTTATCACGTTCAATTGTCAAATTTTGAGTTTGACTGTTAGGTGCGATATAGACGTGATATAATTGAACGTGAATTGTGGTGCTCATGCTGCGGGGATAGGATTCGGTACAAGCTTCAAAATGTCTGAAATAATGTAAAATTTGATAATTTATACCCATTCAAAAAATTTTTTATAAAAAGATTGGTGTGCGTGAAAACGTAATAAACATATATTCAATTTCGTGTTTTCAACACCATATAGACGAGAAATTACATTAACAGTACAGCAGTTCAAATATAAACAAGTTTTTCGTTTTTGCCTGCCCTGTGTAAATGTTATTTTACGCCCTTACACTCAGCCACACCCCCTTCACCTCTCATCGTCCTCTCTGCCGCTCTGTGACTGCGTGCATCTCACCATTTGAGTAAGTATTCGCGCTCCGACACACTAAAGACGGATACATGTTGTTTTTAATGTACGCTTGTTACTAATTTGTAACAGGTAAATAAAACCTTATATCGTTATGGATATACAGACAAACTTTTACTGTGTAGTTTTGAAGGAACGTCTTTAGTGTGACCAACATAGTCATATGGAAAGTTCATTCCAGTCGGCTCCACTGTGCCCAGTAAGTAAAAGCGCAAACTCGCTACATACATATCGCTTCATATTCGCATAAGCATGACCGGTATATATTGCATATGATTTTCTATAGTGCATGATTGTTATTGTGCATGAATCTTACTTTTGTGTACTGCATGTTTGGATTATTTATTAGTAATTTGAAATAAATATAGACTTGAACGGTTCATAGTGAATAAATTATCTTTTTAAAAATTTAAGCTAGGTAAAACGTCTGATGATAATTGATTCTTTACTTTCCAATTGGATTTCAATTAGAGCAGTACTCTAAGTTGCCGGAATTATTCAAATTCGGTTCGATAATTATGAGCGTGGATACTATTGAAAACTGAGGTCATCGCTTCGTTTCGACTTTGCCTATTATATCATTAGAAAAATTAATTAATGATTCTATCAATTCTTAAAATCAAATAACACATCGCGATTATATAACCAACGATATTAAATACCTTAAATACAACATCAAGAACAAAATCGTGGCCGAAACCTGTCCAAAAGGTACATTGGACATTCTACGGAGCTGCGTAACATGATCGCGTTGTCAAAAACAATATAAGGCATTATTTACACATTAACAGTCACCTTTAATGCACACTGTATAAGGTCGTAATTAAAACGCATGCGTTAAAGAGTTATGACATTTCAAAATGGAAGCTCGTAAAATTTTACGACTTCTTGCTATATGCGGAAGAATATAGACCTTATTTCTTTGACTCTACGCGCAATTCTGAATGCGCTGTTAGCAATATATTATATTGTATAATATCGATCATGCATTTTAATATCACAAATATTTTCTATTAAATCAGTTTGTAGTAAGTATTAGAACAAAATTTGCTTCAAATGCGTTAAATAACAAACATTGATTAGGTACCTGTCAAAAAACCGACACTTAACGTACTATAAGTATTTAGTATCACATTTTTTTACGGAGCTCTGCGGCATCTTGACTTTCAACGCCCCGCGCGTGACTGTGAATCAAGAAGTGCTTGAGTGGAGTTTAAGCACTTCTTGATTGTGACTCATTTTGATCGCACGTGGTGTATCTAGGGTATTTAATATCGTTGGATATAACATGCAAAGTGATCATTTACATATTAACATCTACCTGTCATCTCAGAAGCCATATTTACCTCATTTGATGTGCCATTTCATATTATTTGAAATATTGTAATGAATCGATCTTTACCTGTCACCATCAGATTTTCTATTTTGGTTGCAATCAACAGGTATTTGAAAATCAAATAACCATCTCAGCAAATACATATTTACTTTCCGTTATTATTATGAGTGTTTATAGGTCACGACTTCACTTCACCAACCTTTCCAAATTGACTTGAAAGGAAATGGTTCATATTATATGAATTTTTAACACGATCACAAAAGCAGGGGATAAATCGACAGTAATAATATTCAATGAAATGCTTGTTTAAAAAAAAATTTGTTATCTTTGGTGATCATAAATTACCCGTTTGGTCCCGTCCAGTGTTATGTTTTCGTTGAAATTAAAGCAGCAAGCTTCGACATAACAACAATGTTATTTTTGCTAAGTAATAGTATATCAGGTGTTGATGGTTGAGTTTGGTATGAGCAGGAGCGGCAACGGCAGCGGCTGCGGCGGCGGCTCGCCCGGCAGCTGCGGGGCGCCGTCCCCCGCCCACCACTCCGCGCCGCCCTCCGCCGGCGCGCCGCCCTCGCCCGCGGTGCAGCCCCCGCCGCCCGCCCTCAACCAGGTACACTAGCTGCTTGTATAGCTGCCCCCCCTCCATATAACCAGCTGCGGGGCGCCGTCCCCCGCCCACCACTCCGCGCCGCCCTCCGCCGGCGCGCCGCCCTCGCCCGCGGTGCAGCCCCCGCCGCCCGCCCTCAACCAGGTACACTAGCTGCTTGTATAGCTGCCCCCCCTCCATATAACCAGCTGCGGGGCGCCGTCCCCCGCCCACCACTCCGCGCCGCCCTCCGCCGGCGCGCCGCCCTCGCCCGCGGTGCAGCCCCCGCCGCCCGCCCTCAACCAGGTACACTAGCTGCTTGTATAGCTGCCCCCCCTCCATATAACCAGCTGCGGGGCGCCGTCCCCCGCCCACCACTCCGCGCCGCCCTCCGCCGGCGCGCCGCCCTCGCCCGCGGTGCAGCCCCCGCCGCCCGCCCTCAACCAGGTACACTAGCTGCTTGTATAGCTGCCCCCCCTCCATATAACCAGCTGCGGGGCGCCGTCCCCCGCCCACCACTCCGCGCCGCCCTCCGCCGGCGCGCCGCCCTCGCCCGCGGTGCAGCCCCCGCCGCCCGCCCTCAACCAGGTACACTAGCTGCTTGTATAGCTGCCCCCCCTCCATATAACCAGCTGCGGGGCGCCGTCCCCCGCCCACCACTCCGCGCCGCCCTCCGCCGGCGCGCCGCCCTCGCCCGCGGTGCAGCCCCCGCCGCCCGCCCTCAACCAGGTACACTAGCTGCTTGTATAGCTGCCCCCCCTCCATATAACCAGCTGCGGGGCGCCGTCCCCCGCCCACCACTCCGCGCCGCCCTCCGCCGGCGCGCCGCCCTCGCCCGCGGTGCAGCCCCCGCCGCCCGCCCTCAACCAGGTACACTAGCTGCTTGTATAGCTGCCCCCCCTCCATATAACCAGCTGCGGGGCGCCGTCCCCCGCCCACCACTCCGCGCCGCCCTCCGCCGGTGCGCCGCCCTCGCCCGCGGTGCAGCCCCCGCCGCCCGCCCTCAACCAGGTACACTAGCTGCTTGTATAGCTGCCCCCCCTCCATATGAAATAAACCATTTACTTCTAAATGGAATTTTCACACGAGACGGTTTATGTTTGGGATTTTTTCTAATTTTAACATCACAATTACTTTTCTTAAAATTCGAGTATAATTGGTTTTCTAAAGTTTATGAATAAAATGTGCGTTGTACGTGTGTAATATCGTAAGCTTGTGTTGTCCCTCAGGGCGGCGGCTCCCTACCCACCACGCTGCACACGCCGGCGCCCACGCCTGACCCGCACGCGCCGCCCACGCCCGCGCCGCCCTCCGCGCCCTCCGCAGCGCCCAAGCACTATCCGCAGGTATACACTGACACCCACACGTACACACACACAACATACACTCAACGAATAAGAAAGGATATGAAAACATTACTCTCTAACAAAGGCCGATAAAACATCAAAACGCAACAAGCTCACAAACAAAACAAAACAATTTCACAATACAAATATTTGCAAATGAATTTGGCTATCCATTCATTGACAAAATAATGTGAAACGGAAATTCCAACTAATCCTTTTAATATTTGTCGCCGAGCCCACTTGATCGCCGTTTGCGTGGAACCACTTTTTAGCGCAATTCGTAGTCCATATCATTTCTAGTTCGTTGCTTAGCACCTTCAGGATGCGTGGCCACTTATAGCGGGAGCCACGACGCATGCACTCACGACACGCATTCGGGAGACTACGGTCCTCAGTGTTCATGTCGGATGAACAGTGCAGGAGTATATTGTTTTAAACTTACATGGTCACGGACTTTATCGTCATAAGCAGTATTGTTACCATGTAACTTACTTCTTATGAGTTTCCGATATCTCGGCACTGTTGCAAGCCCCATGATCGCGGAGTAAGATGGTTGCAATCCCGTTAATAACTATGGTGCAGAACAAGAGAAAGTTTTCCTGAAAGCCTTAGGGCAGATGAAGTGAGCAAAGAGGAGTCCACAGACACCCTCGCCGCGCTACTCCCAATAGGCAAGGAGGGCGACATTCTTTACCCTACATAAAAAAAACAGCATACACTAATAATTACATTAGTTTAAAGACAAAAACTCCAAGAGTCAGTCACCAAATGTGAGGGCGCTGGGGCCGTTCCTGGCGGAGCTGGAATGACTAGATTAACTCCGGAACGCAGGCTCTATAAGGACGTCAAGTTACGAAAATGAAACATTCTTTGCAAGAAATCTTGCAAACTGTGTATTGCATATATATATATATATATCTATTATTCTATTTTTACACCACGCGTTTGTTATGTTTTTAAATTAAAACAAAAAGGGAAGATATGGTACTATACTACATAAGCAACTGTCACACAATCACACGTCTGTAAATAAACATTCAATCGAGCGAGCGAGGCAGAACTGTACGCAGCACGAGCGAAACGGCGAGTCCGCATCCGAGTCCGCAGGGCTGAGCTGTATTGTCTTTTTTCTTGATTGACGTTAATAACATTCACCGCAAACCGTGATTTTGCGGCTTGCAGATTTGCGATTTGCCGCTCTGCGGCATCTTGACTTTTCACCGGTCCGCGCGTGTCAAATTCAAATTCTATTCAAATTCTTTATTTGCCATTAAATAGGGTGGGTACATTGAAATGTTCATGTTAACAAATATATAAAGTAGCTTTAAGCCTATTTAGCCATATGATTATAGCATGCAAAAGGAATATTTCCATTTATATTTCTAAGAAAATAATAACAAAATAAAAATACAATTTCATTAATAAATCCGTAATAAGATAGAAAAAAAAAATTGTATACATTATATTCAATAGGATAATAATCAAAACTAATCAATTCATTTAATAAGAATAATATTATATATGTCATTTATAATTTATATATTCGTCAATTGAATAGAATGTCTGTCTGAATCAAGAAGCGCTCGAGTCGTTTTCAACTCTTTGATTGGGACACATTTTGAGCGCACGTGGTGTATCTAGGGTATTTAATATCGTTCACATTCATAAACATCCTTGTCACACCTCTATTCGATATGTTGTCTTATGAGTGTTGTTCCCTCAGGGCGAGTCGCCATCAGCGGGCGCGGGGCCGGCGTCGCTGGGCGGGGCCGGGGGCGGTCCCGGGGGCGGCGCGGGCCCGGGTGGGGGCGGGGCGGGCGCCGAGTGCGGGGGTGGGGGCGGGGGCGCGGAGCTCACGCGGCGTCCCGTATTGCCCGGGCCCGAACTCAAGCCCGACCCGCTAGAAGACGAGCACTCGCTGCACATGCTGTACGACTACAGCACCGTGCTCGCATGGTATGTATCAATGGCGACAGTTAGGTGTTTTTTTTATTAATAGTGAGGTAGGCAAATGACTCTACCCCACCTGATGTTAAGTGGTGATAAAGTCCAAACGCGAAGATAGTTGGTACAGCAGTTTTAAACTGCTACACCAACCATCCTCACCTTGCTGGCCTGCAAAAATGCTTCTTCACGCCTCTCTTAAAGGACCCCAGATTATAGTAAGGAGGGAACAAATGCGCGGTAAGGAATTCCACTTACGAATAGTGCGACAAAGAAATGAGTCACCAAATTACTTTGGGATTGTCTCTCGGCGCCCTTTGCTCGAGGCTTTCACTTATTTCTCCTTTATTTGTTTGGCCAATAAGGGTGATTGATGGCCGGGTGAAGTTAACGAATTACTATTTAGTCAGTCAGTTAGATTATCAAGAAATAACGCATACATATTTTTTTTCTTTTGTCAATGAACCAAAACATTACAAAGATAAAATGCCTCAAAGGTTGGAAGTGGGGGCTCGTGACATTACGTCTAAGTAAAAATTGTACATAGGCGTGACGTCATGCGACATTTCAAATCAATATACCGAACATCGTCCTATGAAATTGGGATACAGAAATGTTTCGTTGCTCTGAATCCTACAACCAAGCATCCTAGCAAAAATCTTTTTTAATTATCTTTATTTTCAATCTCATGATTTGATCATCAAGCGAGTACACAAACGGTCACATTTTATAACAAGATTTCAAGAATGTGAATCTTTAGGCTCGCGATATCCAAGCCTGTATGCGCATCAACCTCGCTTCAGACAACGATTGCTGAGTTCGTCGCTAGGCAACATTTTATGTAACAAATATTATCTCTAGTCTAGTCTCATGCGCGCACTTCACTTGACTATTCGTGTTTGCTATTTGTTAACTCGCCATCAGTCTGTCCTTTTCATTCCTTATAAAGCATGATAGACAGACTGTTGAGTGTACTGACTGACTGCATACAGACAATTCTACGATGATACAGAGATGTAGATGTCCTTTTCAAAATAAATAGTACCCTATCTTAGAGTATATTTAATTTGTGGTATATTATAATGCTAGCTTTAGTCAATTATTGTTTTTGGTTTTATATTACAAATAATAGTTTTGATATTGATATATATTATAGTTGTAGAAGACTTGTCTGAAACACAGGTTTACCTAGTTCAGGCTATAGTATAAGTTACATATCTTTTGTTATTTCTAGAATAAAGTAATTTATTGTTAACTGAAATTCAATAAACATTTATTATTATTAAGCTTACAAATAGAAAAAAGTCAAGTGAAGTGCCGGAAAATTTTGTTATTCTCATAAATTACTTTCAAAACGATTTGTTATTCTATTATTTATAATACAGGCTCGAACATCCTGTGAAGAGGTTTAAAACTGAAGAAAACACGTTTCGCGAAGAACTCGCTTTGGGAACGCCATTGGGCGTCGACCTGTACGCCGGCCACGACCACACCAAGATGGCTGTCATGCTTGACCACCACCACCTTGACATCAAGCAGGAGAAAGTAGAACAGGTAGGAATAGGGTTTTTTATCTATGCATATAATGAAATGGTAGGAAAGTCAAAACGGTACATTGAATATTTATTTTAAAAGAATATATGGGGTGTGATATACAATCGATACCAAAGCCAAAAATATAGTTTTTAGATTTTTCTTCTGTTTGTCTGTATGTGTGTCTGGATAAACTCAAAAAGTACTGCATGGATTTACTTCAAATTTGGCACGAATATTATTAAGAAGTCAGGTCAACATATAGGCTACATATTATCACGCTTACCTACGGGGAACGAGCAGTGAACCTTTATCTAACTAACTCCACGCGTACGAAGTCGCGGGCGGCCGCTAGTTTTTAATATTTGGCTAGAAGGACCATTTTTTATAATAGCCTATTTATTAGGGGTAATGAGATGACTTATCAATTACACGTATAAACAGCTGTAACATCGCTCTTATTGCCACGAAGCAAAGACTTATTTGATACTAGAGTCCACCCGTGACTTCGTTCGCTTTAACTTTAGTCTTTTCAAAATCCCACAGGTACCTGTCATATTTCCGGGATAAAAAGTATCCCATATGTCAATCCAGATCATAAATTATATGCGTGCCAAGTTTCATCCAAATCCGTTCAGTAGTTTTTGTGGGGTTGTGTAACAATCGTACAAATTTTCACGTTTATAATATTAGTAGTACAAACATACAAGTATAAATGTACTAACTTTCGCATTTGCATCAAATTATACGTATTCCGCCTGGATAGCAGAAGATGCAGGTTCATATCATGTCTGATGCCACGTCTGCCATGCCATGCCATGCCTGGACCGATTTTTTTTTATTAAATTTTCTTTATATTTGTAAACATAAAAGACAATATCTTTTATTGGGAATTGTAGAAGTAATGAAACAGATGTGTTGCTCTGAAAACAAAGAAACGACATTTAAAGTCTTTATTTATTATTAGAATAATAAAAACTTTAATAATAACAAAAAGTCAATTACAGGCTTATAGGCGGCAATAACATTTTTTACAAATAAAAACACAACAACATAATTAAGCACACTAACATAATTAATTACAAAAAAGAGCATTGTACAATTGCATATTCGTCAAAAAATGCACTGCTCAAGACCCGCCCTAGTGATGGAACGCTAGTGTGAAACAAATTAATTATGACATTATTACAATTTATTTTCCTTCCTTTACAATAATGTTTTAGAATAACCAAATAAAAATATCACGGGTCGTTCTGTCAAAGCGACACCATCTTTGAAGTGATAGTTTTATTATTATGGTCGCCCGAGAGCTATACAAACTACTTAAAAAATAACAAATTAAAGAACTGACAGTAAGGAGGTTCTTTACAAACATATACAGTAATTAATAAATTGTTTATGGTGTATACAGGAGGACACGAAAGAGTACAAGAATTTGTTTACATCGGACGGGCTGTGCCCCACGCTAAAAGATCTCGACCAAATATTCGACAACTCGGACGACGCCGCCAGCGGCGATGAGACGGTAAGACTTGTGAGTGTTTACCCTTATTTATACGTATTTACTTACACTTAATGTATGCTTTATGTTCATAGTCTGTTTATAACACGCTATATAACTACATTGCTTACTAACTAATATTAAATATGTATGTTTTTATTTTGATGCTTGTCCACATGCAATAGATTGAATAGCTTGTTACATCGTCACATCAGCACATTTAGTTGACCTTAATTCATAATTAATTATATTGCACAAAATAATTTCGCAATCATCAATCAATTTAAACTCATCAAGCCGCACGTACTCAAATCAAATTATGATTTTAATTTTTAGTCCTTTTTCCCAATATAGAGTTTTATACTTTTTATCAGTACATAATTTATATTGTTCCAAATCGAACATCAATTGTTTTCGCAAGACGAAATAGTACAGACCTCACGAAGAGTTTTGTGTGTACAGCTGCAAGTGCAAACGCCGCCGGACTCGAACAAATCAGCCGAAGAGTCGCGGTGCGGGGGCGGAGGGCGCTGCGTGCGCGCCGAGGAGCTCAGCAAAATGTTTCCCACCCCGCCCTCCATGGAGGCGCACGCGCAGCCCTCGCCCGGGTTCACGCTGCCCGACGACACGCCGCTGCCGCACCGCCTCGCTTCCGGCAGCCCCCCGCCCGACCCCATCGAGGTAACGATATGTGCCCCCCCCCACCCCGCCCTCCATGGAGGCGCACGCGCAGCCCTCGCCCGGCTTCACGCTGCCCGACGACACGCCGCTGCCGCACCGCCTCGCTACTGGCAGCCCCCCGCCCGACCCCATCGAGGTAATGATATGTGCCCCCCCCCCCACGCCGCCCTCCATGGAGGCGCACGCGCAGCCCTCGCCCGGCTTCACGCTGCCCGCTTTTAAAATATTAATTTCAAGTTTAGAACATTTTATTTAACAGGTGTTTAGAGCTAGAGATGGTCGTTTTTAGATATTTGTGATATCGATGCGGATCGATACCAGATAAATTGGCATTCGGTGCGCGCAGCGATGCCAAGTGAATGTCAGTCCAGCTCGTAGTGTCACAGGATGTAATGTGAAACGAATTACGACAGATGCGTATTTGTATGCCTCTACAGTCCGTTGATGAACCGTAATTTTAGCTCTAGAAACACGGTATATTTCTCGTATTTTCCAAAGGAGACACTACGCTATGTGCTCAACGAGCTATAGTGCCACATACTTTTCTGTGCCGGTGACATAAATTTGATTGTACAATTTATTCACAGCAATTTTGTCATTTCTGTGACATCATTGTTCACCGCTAGGCGACACCTCCGCTGGCACAATTATGTTCCTGGCACTGTAGCTATAATTACATTGACATAGACTAGATGTCATCGGCATCCAATAATGGTTCCAAGTCGCATCGAATGGGCGCATCCAAACCTAGCATCGTTGTTCTAAAACACTTCAAGTCTAACTAGAACCGAGGTCCGAGTCTAAGAGACGCCCTCTAGTTGATCCGACCCCCTCAGGTTCGAGTGGTCTAGAGACTACAGACGGAGAGGAGACTCCCCCCGTGGGGAGATGCCATCCGCCTAAATACCTCTAGCGGCACTCGTCAATTCGCGGCTTGAGGTTCCCCCTTATTGTTTGATTACTGATGCCATCAGAGCCATCTGCGACCAATAGTATACATGCCATCAAAAAGAAGCCCGCCTTCTTAGGGCCAAGATTCCTTTGCTAATCAGCTTTATCATCGCAGGACTGGTCGTACGTGTTCAAGCCGCCCACCGTGTGCAAGTACGTGGGGTCGTCGAAGTACGCGCCGCTGCAGGCGCTGCCCAGCCAGCTGCTGCCGGCCGTGGCACTGCCGCCCCACGCCGTGTACCGGCCGCGCTGCCCGCCCGCGCCCCGTACGCCCACGCCCGCCCTCGCGCCCGCCCCAGGCAACGCGCCCGCCCTCGGCAGCGCTCATGATGCGCGACCAGGTAACAGTTACAACATTGAAAAATGCCATATGAACACTTCGCTCTTAGCATTTTTTTAATAGGGATGATGACTAATTTTTTTTTCTTCGTTTATCAGGTAGATTATCAAAAAGTATTGGACACTTATTTTTTCTTTTTTCACATAATATAAACATTGCAGAGATATATTTCATGTTGAGTTGCATTTTCCGCCATTAATAATGGAGGTAACCTTCATAATTATGATTGTAAAATAAATGTTATTGTCTTAAAAAAACCACATTCGTTACTGGCCTATTGTAGCTCTTTCCATACATCTACTGCTTTTTTCTATAATGCCTCCCGATTTTTTAAAATCGGACCTGGCAACACTGGGCCCCTTATTAATAAATCGCTCTAAACTATTTCGAGATGCTGTTTTGTATGAAAACAGTAACCCGAACTTCAGAACAAGGACTAAAGCGTAGATGTAATGATATAACGTTTTGGCGTACTTTCACATAGACAATGGATTAACGAAAAGATTTCCAAACAAATAAAGGTGTAAAACCAAACAAAAGTATTATTGGCAGGCAGACAGATAAAAAAAGGAGTTGAGTTTATACTTCACCTATGCATTAATTTTTTGTTCTGAGGACACAATAAACCGACAAAATCTGCACACATGTTATTATATTGTGAGTATGCCCTTTCGACAGAGGGGAATAAACCCTATGTTTAAACCCTATGTCGTCTCGTCTTCTTTTAATTTCGTTTAACGTTCTGCAATAACACTAAAAATTTATTTGAATGATATTTATCAACTCCTAATTCAAACAAAGTTTGTCAATATCTCACAACTGCCATACTGAAAATCATATATATTATTTTATTATTTATATGACACAGCAATCAAATTGTGGCTGGAAACTGTATTGTTAGCGACATGATTTTGTCTAAAGTTGCCCCTTTTGTTAAACGATGAGTATCTTGCGTCCATTCTTCTCATCACTTATAAAATGTCCTGTAGAAAAAAAAAATGGATGCGTGTAACTTATGTACGCGCGTGAGAAGTTATACTTCTTTAGCATCATTAAAATATTTTTTAATTGCATGCAAATAATTAATAATTACAATAAAATAATAAGAGGACTGGAAAAGGATAGTTAACACAGTCAATTAAGTTCAGTTTTAATTTGAAAAATTAAATAATTATTCAAAATATTCAATTAAAATCACTACTGAATTTAAGTTATTAGTCCATATGTAATTAGCACTTGTAAGTAACTAAAACACGTTGTGTTCTTGACCTTCACAAGTGCTTGTAACAGCCTAGACTGAATAAATGTCATTTCATTTCATTTCATTTCAATGTCCCGTTCAAATCTGCCCTGTTTGCTTTGTTCAAATCTGCCCCACGGTCACTTGGAAAATAAAATATTACAAATAACGCGCCCGCGGCTAACTTCATTATGTTAAAATTTTGTGTTACAGTGATGAAAATTTCACTCTCATAATTTTTTCATAACGCGGCTAAAGAAGTATAACTTCAAAATTGAACGATTTAAAATAACTTCCAATAAGTCAATTAGAATGAATTATTTTATTTAAATTTAAGAAACTTGTCATCTCCTCCGCCAGGCGTGAAACGCAGCGCGTCGCCCGCGAGCGATTCGCGCGACGCGATCGCTCGAGCGCGACGGTCGTGCGACAACAACTCCGCGGCGCCGTCCAACTCGCCCGCGTGCGTGGCGCCGAGCCCCGCCGGCAGCATACCCGGCGCGGGCGCGGTGACGCCGGCGGGGCCGGGCGCGGCGACGGTGCCGGGCGCGGGCGCCGGTGCGGCCAGTCCGCGCGCCGCCGCCGCCGCCTGCCCGCTGCTGCTCAACGTGCTGCTCACCGACACGGTGCTCAACGTGTTCCGCGACCACAACTTCGACAGTTGCACGCTGTGCGTCTGCAACGCGGGGCCAAGGGTGAGTTTTTTTCATGATTTGCATTGAAACTTCTTTACGCACGCTTGACTTGGGGGGTAAGCTGGTGAATGCGTAACGCGTTACGAAAACTGTGTACGGGTGAAGCGAACGGGAGTTGAGTGGGGAATATAAGCAAGGGAAAGCAGTGTGCGAGTAGCTAGTAAATGAAATATGTATATGTACAGACATTTATATTATTGTACACACAGTACATGTATACATACAGATGGAGCTAAAGAAGTTTCACTTCAGTCGTGTGGTCATAAGCACACTCGATTTTTTTTTATTTTTCTCTGTAATATTTCTACAAACTCAACGATCCCAGAGTATTAAACTACTACCTCTTATTTTAAAGATGAATTGAATATATTTTACGGAATACTATAAAGTCGATCATAACAATGTGATGGATTACGTTTTCGTGGCAGGTGGTGGGCAATATCCGTGGCGCGGACGCGGCGACATACCTGGCAGGCTGCTCGGGAATCGGCGGCGGCGAGTGGGAGAATGGTGCGGCGCCGCTGGACGATGAGCCGTCCCGCTGCACGTGCGGCTTCAGTGCGGTTGTCAACCGCCGGCTAGCGCACCGCGCCGGCTTGTTCTACGAGGTGAGTGTGCTGCACTGATGTTATTGATGGGAGAGCGGCGCGGCGCCGGCTAGATGATGAGCCGTCCCGCTGCTTATTTTTGTTGTTTGTTATTAGTAATAACGTATCAATTACGATTGCAGGACGAGATGGAGATAACGGGCGTGGCGCCGGAGCCGGGAGGGGCGGGCGGTGCGGGGGGCGGGCGGCTCGCGGATGTGGCGGGCGCGGTGGCGGCGGCGTGCGCGGGGTGGGCGGGCGGCAACACCTCCGCCCTGGCGCGCGCCGCCGCCCACGCCGCCGCCCAGCCGCCGCACGACCCGCTGCGGCTCAACCTGCTCGAGTGAGTACATACAGCACTGTAGGGGCGCGGGCTCGCGGAGGTGGCGGGCGCGGTGGCGGCGGCGTGCGCGGGGTGGGCGGGCGGCAACACCTCCGCCCTGGCGCGCGCCGCCGCCCACGCCGCCGCCCAGCCGCCGCACGACCCGCTGCGGCTCAACCTGCTCGAGTGAGTACATACAGCACTGTAGGGGCGCGGGCTCGCGGAGGTGGCGGGCGCGGTGGCGGCGGCGTGCGCGGGGTGGGCGGGCGGCAACACCTCCGCCCTGGCGCGCGCCGCCGCCCACGCCGCCGCCCAGCCGCCGCACGACCCGCTGCGGCTCAACCTGCTCGAGTGAGTACATACAGCACTGTAGGGGCGCGGGCTCGCGGAGGTGGCGGGCGCGGTGGCGGCGGCGTGCGCGGGGTGGGCGGGCGGCAACACCTCCGCCCTGGCGCGCGCCGCCGCCCACGCCGCCGCCCAGCCGCCGCACGACCCGCTGCGGCTCAACCTGCTCGAGTGAGTAACATAAGTCTGCTATTACTTTTAACACACAAGTAGAATCCGACAACGATCTTTATGAATGTGGTGTAAATTGGAACTAATGCCGCCGTCTTCGTAAACATCGTGGGTGTATTCCGTCATATAAACTAGTATACTGGCCAGTGCTAATGACGTCATGAATCGACGCTATACTGGTGAATTGTTCCGAAATATATTGGCCAGTGCACTGACGTCATAAATCGACGAAATATTAAAAATAGTGCGATTAAAGAAGATTTTTTCTTCATCACATCAATTAAAAGGAATTCTTTTTGTTCCGATGCCATTATTGTTCTGTAAATAAAAAAAAAATTCGAATGCATCTCACGCACGCTCAGTCACGTTTTCCGGGTAAAAATATGGTAGCATACCAGTACAATATGACGTCGGATTCGTGACGTCATTACCACTGGCCAGTATACTGATGCATATTTCGAAATATACCCCGTATTTAGTATGTAATTTACATAGACAGTGGCGTCTCCTTGAACTGTCACTCACATACATAAAGATCCTTGTCGCTCTGTAAAGCGAGATTATGTTTCACCATGTAGATAATCTGACGGCGCGCACACTGCGTGCTGGAAGTATACTGTCTTGCATTACTCATTGTTTTATCTCTAGGATCTAAAGTGTAACCAAAGGGTGTCTCCCAGGGCGTTACTACAAGTCCGCCGTTTCTCCCAACACACATTGATCTATAACATGGTTACTATCTCCCGCGCAGATACTCCGACGGCGGCACGGCGGCGGCGCGCGCGTTGCGTGCGGCGTGCGGCGGTGCGGCCGCGGCAGGCCCGTCGCCCGTGCATCGATGGCCTTTCATTGGGGCAAGGGCACCTAGATCCTCAAGGGATGTCGTCAGGTAAACAACTAATGTGTAAACGGTACCCTTAGCACGAACCAATATCCAATATTAATAGTTGGCGAATGCGAAATGTCACTGTCAAATTTATTTTTACAAACTTGGACAGCAGCGCCACATGGGACGTAATGAGAACTAAAAATCAATACGTATTGAACTAATATGAGTTTCATAATGGTTCGTACTAAGAGGTAGAGTTCTGAGGCCGAAACGCGAATATTAACAGCTCAATGATCATATTGCATCGTCATAGTTTCTATTAAAACCAAGCAACGCTCCTACCGAACGTAAGAACAAATGGGCTCCTACCATATAAAATTAGACTATGACAATACGATTACTGTAAAAAATCTTGCTTGGGCTTCAGTTCTGTGCTCAAGCTTATAGAAGAGAACTAGAATATTATATTCTTTGTTAGTTTTGTCGTAAGCGTGTGATGTGACATGTCGCTGGGAATAGTCAAAATTCCCAGTGTAGCATTGTCAGTTTCGGGGGAATATTCTCAGGTTCTCGGTATTGGATATATTCGCGGTAACATTAAAAACATTTGCATTAACTTTCCAATATTATCAGAAACTGGATAAATATTCGTCACGCTAATAATTTGTGTATGACTTTAATCGAATGCATAAATAAATATTTTGATGCTTTTGTGTAAGTTATCTTGCGTCGCAATTGTGCTGGAAAAATTGCAACTCATGTGCGATGAATTTATTATATACATACTTTACTAAACCTATGAAACATTTTTATATTGTTCAGATTGATGCGTCGCCTCCGGCCGCTGCTGCAAGACGCGATCCAGAAGCGTTGTTGCGGCGCGCGCATGTGGGACGGCGTGACTGGCCCGCTAACTTGGCGGCAGTTCCACCGGCTAGCCGGCCGCGGGAACGAAGACCTATGCGAGCCCCAACCCGTGCCTCCCTTACTCGTCGGCCACGACCGAGACTGGCTATCCTTATCACCTTACGCGCTAAGACACTGGGAGAGACTCGCGCTCGAACCGTACTCCTACTCGCGCGACGTCACCTACGTAGTCCTCGCGGCGGACGGCGAATCGTTAACGGAGCCGTTGCGCGCGTTCTTCCGCGAATTGTCAGCAGTGTACGAATCGTGTAGACTCGGGAGGCATCGGCCGTTAGCGCGCGACGGCTTGTACCGCGCGGCGCCCGGCCGGCCGCCGGACGCGGGCGACGAATGGGCGGGTGCGGGCGAACTGCCAGCGGGCCGGTTACGAGACTACCTACGTGCCTACGCTGATGCGTTGCGATCGTCCGTTCTGCCCGCGTTGGTGGATCGACCTCCTCCGGACCAGACGCCTACTCGCCCGCCTGCTTCGGCTCCGTCCCCGGCTCCTTCGACTCCTAACAGTACACCCACCGCGACGCCGAGCGACGACCAGGGCAGTGAAGCCCCGCCGGCCGCTTGGGAGGAGGAGGAGGGCGGAGCGCCCGCGCTGGTGGTGTACCTAGTGGAGCCCCCGGGCGCGGCACGGAGGCCCGCGGCCTTGCGAGCGTTGCTGCGGTTAGCGGCGAGAGTGCATCACCATCTGGGACACCACAACCCGTTCGTTAAGGTAATTCCTATCACTATCATCATCATCAGCCTATTAATGTCCCCACTGCTGGGGCACAGGCCTTCCCTATGGATGGAATAGGGAGATTGGGCCATGACCCACCACGCGGGCCCAGTGCGGATTGGTGGGTGCTAACGACTGGAGATGCAGCCGGGACCAACGGCTTAACGTGCCTTCCGAAGCACGGAGGAGCTCGAGGTAGTAATTTTTGGTCACCCATCCAATGACTGACCACTGCGAAAGTTGCTTAAGTTCAACGATCGCAGCCGAACGCGCTAATCACTTGCGCCATCGAGCTCCTCACTATACATACTTAGATACAAATTTAGGTTACAGACAAATGGGGATGAAATTGTAAATGTTTAAATAATGTGGGAGTAGGAGTTTATCAGAATCGAAGGGTCAAGTGTATATACGCCGGGTTTCATGGTGTCACCTACTCGAGGGAACCCGGGTTCGAATCCCGGTGGGGGCACAGATGTTTGTGTGATGAATATGAGCATTTGTACTCCAGTCATGGATGTTTAATATGTATTTCTATATAAATATACTGATACATATTTAAGCCGTTACCCTAGTATCCCATAACACAACCCTACAGTGCTTACATTTGGGGCTAGGTGTGAGTGTTGGAAATATTTATTTATTTATTGGTAATAGGAAATTGCTGTTGTTGAAACGTAGGCGCGGCTGGATTTTTTCATTTAATTTTGATATTTCCAGATAATATCGTTGGAAGGCGTTTGCGAAACCTGGGGCCTTGGCGCGAACGACCCGCCGACCGGCAGCGGGGGAGGCGGCGGCGGCGGTGCGGATCTACGAGCGCTAGCGTTTAGCGTATTCTGTGGCGCGCGACGTCTGCTAGCCCATTCTGCCAACGGGAAATCGCTCACCGGCTTCGGAACCGCTGCTGACGCCAACCTCTTCCTCTCCAATAAAGACGTGAGTACCACATCATATTATTATATTAAAACGAGCTTTATTTGTGTCACGTTGACAATTGTTTAATGTACTATTAGGGGAGAAATAACTATATTTGCAATGCCAATAAATCGAGCCGTTACCGCCAAATTATCGTAAGCGACACTTTTGTCGAAATCGTCGAAATGGGTCGTAACGGACCCATCTCTGTTACGGTTTAAAATATTAGTTTCCACAACGGCTCGAAATGTCCGTGTGCCATCAGTCGTCTTGCGTTTTGCTCGTCCCTGTACTCGCCGAATTAACAATTATGTAATTTCATCAGGAAACAAACCGCGCGCCATACAAGCTGTTCTCGCCACCGTGGGTACTAGCGCCGCCTCGTGCGCTCAAGGAAGTCGCTGAGACGTGGGGTCAGGCATGCGGCGAGCAGGGCGCCGTGCTGTTCCTGGCCTACTGCCTCTCGCACGACCAGCGCTGGCTCCTGGCAGCCGCCACCGACGCGCGCGGCGAGCTGCTGGACACCGCCGCCATCAACGTGCACGTGCCGCCCAGGTGTGTACATGTGCTGCCCCGAGCACCACCAGCGCTGGCTCCTGGCAGCCGCCACGAGCTGCTGGACACCGCCGCCATCAACGTGCACGTGCCGCCCAGGTGTGTACATGTGCTGCCCCGAGCACCACCAGCGCTGGCTCCTGGCAGCCGCCACGAGCTGCTGGACACCGCCGCCATCAACGTGCACGTGCCGCCCAGGTGTGTACATGTGCTGCCCCGAGCACCACCAGCGCTGGCTCCTGGCAGCCGCCACGAGCTGCTGGACACCGCCGCCATCAACGTGCACGTGCCGCCCAGGTGTGTACATGTGCTGCCCCGAGCACCACCAGCGCTGGCTCCTGGCAGCCGCCACGAGCTGCTGGACACCGCCGCCATCAACGTGCACGTGCCGCCCAGGTGTGTACATGTGCTGCCCCGAGCACCACCAGCGCTGGCTCCTGGCAGCCGCCACGAGCTGCTGGACACCGCCGCCATCAACGTGCACGTGCCGCCCAGGTGTGTACATGTGCTGCCCCGAGCACCACCAGCGCTGGCTCCTGGCAGCCAACAACAACAGCAGGACAACACGTGCTAGCAACACTTCTGCATCGTCACGTATATAGGGTGTATTCCGAATATAAACCAGTACGCTGGCCAGCGGTAATGACGTCATGATTTCGACGCCATATTGCACTGGTGTAGTAGTAGTGTTGTCAATATGGCGTCGAAATCATGACGTCATTACCACTGGCTAGCGTACTGGTGTTTGATTCGGAATACACCCATAATCTGCTTGAAAGTCTGTGAGCGCGCCTGCAAACGTAACGTCATGTGTACGAGACGAGGACACGGAGGACAGGAGGCAGCAACACACACAGCGAACATTATTCCGCATTGCGCGCTCGATCTGATTTATACAATGGACCGAGTATTCTCTTGTTAAACACTCGTCTCTTTTTCTTAATCTACATATTAATTACAACACAACGTAATCTGAGTATATTAACCTAGATAACATGCGCTTGTCTGATTTTTCGGAAGACAAATGTTCGCATATTGTTTGCGTTGAGTCTATTATAAATCCTCGGTAGACATTTTCTCCACGATTCTGGGGGACTTTAATCGTCCACGGACAAAAGTCCTTCGTCTGCGCAGGCCATTATTCTGACCTAATTCGGTACTTGGATACGGTGGTTACACACGTACTTTGTGCTTCTATGTTGAGTATAGGTGTAATAATATAAAAATGATAACACAGGTCGCGGAGACGACGCGTGGGTCCAGCGCGGAGGCTGGGGTTGAAGAAGCTAATGGACTTCACGCTGGGTGTGATGAGCCAGGCGGCGCAGCCCTGGCGGCTTGTCGTCGGACGGGTCGGACGGATCGGGCACGGCGAACTGAAAGGTACAGTGTTCTCATTTAGCCTATTGGGAAGAAAATGCAAAGCATTACAGTTGGCGCATTGGCCGTTTGGCTGTAGGGGATCAAAAACTATGTTTCTAAAATAAATATAGAGGAAACCACCCAATCATTGACACTCGTCCTATTATTGGCACTTTTGAGTTTAATTCGGAAAAAGAACGAGACAATAGATTATTCAAGGTCGTTACATATTAAAAAGAAAAACCTAGTATGGTTTCGAAATTTCAAAATTGGCAGCATTATTCCTACAATCTATTGTTTCGTGTTTTTTTCGAGCTTAACTCAAAAGTGCCAATGATTGGGTAGTTTCCCCTATATACTAGTTGACCTCGCGTACTTCGTCCGAGTTAAAATAATTTGGAAGAAATGACGGACCCGAGTCTACCGTACCAAAAGGGACGAACGTCAAATGTTTGACAGGAAAGAAGATAGAACAGTTTATATTATGGGAAAATTAAATTGACGTTTTTACTATCTTTCTCGCAATTTTTCCATATTTTCTCACCTTTTAAACGTTCCTTAGACCTCCACGAACATTTCAAGACCAAGATAAGATAAATCCGTTCAGCCGTTCTGAGTTTAACGAACAGCAATTGATTTTTATTTAAATAGATAGTAGGTGAAACTACTATATTTTGCTTAAAGCAGACTTTCCAGTAAAAGCTTTCTTAAAAATAAAAACTGAATTATTGAAGTATAGAGCAGCAAAAATATACTCATTTCAAAAATAAAATAAATATTCAACCATATTTATTTCTACTTTTTATACTATATTTTTTTCTACTTTTTTGCCATCTACTATATTTTTAGAGGTAACAGCTTAGCTTAACCCTAGTTATAACACGTTGATTGACGCAGGTTGGAGCTGGCTACTGTCGCGCAAGAACCTGGTGAAGGCATCGTCGACGCTGCGCGAGATCTGCAGCAGCTGCGGCGTGCTGTGGCCGGGCGGCGTGCCCAGCATCGTGTCGGCGTGCCTCGTGTCCACAGAGCCGGACTCGTGCCTTCGCCTCATGGCGGACCGGTTCACGCCCGACGAGCGCTTCTCGCAGGCCTCCATCCAGTCGCATCTGCACACGCCGCGCGACGTGTCCGCCACGCATATCCTCGTGTTCCCCACCTCGGCCACCACGCAGGTCAGTAGTCATATTGGACCCGGACTCGTGCCTGCGCCTCATAGCGGACCGGTTCACGCCCGACGAGCGCTTCTCGCAGGCCTCCATCCAGTCGCATCTGCACACGCCGCGCGACGTGTCCGCCACGCATATCCTCGTGTTCCCCACCTCGGCCACCACGCAGGTCAGTAGTCATATTGGAGCCGGACTCGTGCCTGCGCCTCATGGCGGACCGGTTCACGCCCGACGAGCGCTTCTCGCAGGCCTCCATCCAGTCGCATCTGCACACGCCGCGCGACGTGTCCGCCACGCATATCCTCGTGTTCCCCACCTCGGCCACCACGCAGGTCAGTAGTCATATTGGAGCCGGACTCGTGCCTGCGCCTCATGGCGGACCGGTTCACGCCCGACGAGCGCTTCTCGCAGGCCTCCATCCAGTCGCATCTGCACACGCCGCGCGACGTGTCCGCCACGCATATCCTCGTGTTCCCCACCTCGGCCACCACGCAGGTCAGTTGTCATATTAAAATAAAGGTTAACACGAAAATTGCTTTAAAACAATATGGAGAGGTCGAAATTAAATTAAAAAAGTACTCGGGCGTCGGAACTATCACAAAGGACTCGCCGGAGGGGCATTGAACTATTAATCGCAAGGGCGGTTGAAGCAAAATCGAAACTCGCTTTGTATTGTCTATGTATTGAAATTTCCAACTTCAAAAATCTTGACCTGAATTTTTTATATATATTTTTTACATAATTGTATAGTTTTCTCTTACCAAATTGTCGTTCATCTTCATCAGCCTATTAATGTCCCCAATGCTGGGGCACAGGCCTTCCCTATGGATGGTTTAGGGAGATTGGGCCATGACCCACCACGCGGGCCCAGTGCGGATTGGTGGGTGCTAACGACTGCAGATGCAGCCGGGACCAACGGCTTAACGTGCCTTCCGAAGCACGGAGGAGCTCGAGATAGTAATTTTTGGTCACCCATCCAATGACCGACCACTGCGAAAGTTGCTTTATAAGTTATAGTTCAACGATCGCAGCCGAACGCGCTTACCACTTGCGCCATCGAGCTCCTCAGATTGTCCTTATTGGAATAAATTTACATGCGCTTACTGTCCTCGCTGTATCTTTGTTATGTGTTGAGTTGAATGTATGTATGGAAACCTGGCTTCCATGTAATGACAAGGGTTATTTCATGGTCCATTATAAAATTTTCTTAAATATAAAAAATGCACTTGTGCCATCGAGCTTCTCATGCATATTCAATGCTAGAGATTTTTTTTTATATTTTGACGTCGTTTGTAAAACTTTTACTACAAGATACTAACTTCCCTATTTTTGATTACAGTCGAACCCGATGCCGTTCGAGCAGCCGATGGCGAACGGTGTCGACAGCGACATGATGTTCGACGTGGACATGGGCGACGAGGACATGGGCGAGGACAACATATCGGATCTGCTCATCGACGACATGTTCATGTGGCCCCAGGGGTCCCCGCGCAACTCCCCGCGCCGCCTCGACCCCGAGCATGACCAACCCGGCTCGCCCGCGGCCCCGACCCATCACCACTACCTGCACCAGGACGACCCCAACGCGGTCAGTATCTATCTATATATATACTAGCGGACCCGACAGACGTTGTCCTGTCTACACGTCTTTGTGAATCTAAACCATTCTCAGATCCCCTTGAACACACGAAAAATTTCATCAAAATCGGTCCAGTCGTTTAAGAGAAGTTCAGTGACATACACACTCACAGAAGAATTATATATATAAAGATATATAAAACTCAAAGGTGACTGACTGACTGACATAGTGATCTATCAACGCACAGCCCAAACCACTGGACGGATCGGACTGAAATTTGGCATGCAGGTACAAGTTATGATGTAGGCATCCGCTAAGAAAGGATTTTGATCAATTCTACCTCCAAGGGGATAAAATAGGGAATGAAAGTTTGTATGAAACTTTGTCAATTTTAAACCGATCGGGCTGAGACTTTGCATGCAGGTATAAGAAGAATCATATATAATACAAGCCTGAGAACAAAAACTGTAGCCTACACTTCAGCTCTACACCGAAGTAAAGCGAGAACGGGCCGCTAGTTATATTATACAAGTCGCCCCCCACCAACACTAACAGCACCAGGACTACCCCAACGCGGTCAGTGTTATACGACCCCGCTCCCACACCACCACTACCTGCACCAGAAAGACCCCAACGCGGTCAGTGTTATATACTGTATGAACTCCCCGCGCCGCCTCGACCCCGAGCATGACGACGCGGCCCCGCACCACCACTAATTGCACCTATCAACCCCAACGCGGTAATTTATTATCTTATGAGACTCGTGCGCATACAGAACGCGCCTCTTTTTTTTTATTTATCATCTCTTGCCGAATCCTCCACAATCTCTCTTATAATCATTCTACCTTACGATGTCCACTGTTAGACTTTAGTTCCACTAAAGCGACTAGTTGCGGGCGACCGCAACCGCTAGCGGCTAGCTTTGTAGCGACTGTGTGCGCGACTCTAGTCTACCATCAAATAAGATCATTTTATTTCAAGATAAATAGATCTTATGTTATTTCTTCAATATTTAATTGTAAAAGAAGTATTATTAGTAGTATTCACTACTGCTCGCATTGAGGTAAATTTAATTATAGTAGTCGCGCGCGGCTGACGGCGCAGTGGGTATTGCGTAATAGTCATGTATATACTATCTGAATATTACATTACTGCAGCGGTCAGCAAAAGAAGCATTGATGTGGGCTGAGGCGAAGCAGGGTCACATTATATCAAATCCAATTTTTGAAATTTCAGATGTTTAAAGGCAGTGAGGCAGGGATGTTAGGATTTCCTAAAAAGTGAAAAAAATAAATATTTCCGGTCCACTCAGGGGACCTTTGGAGTCAGGGTTACCTAAAAAAACACATTCTGTTCTGAATCCGAACCTAATATCAAACACGTCGCAAATTCGGTTTTTTGAATTGTATTCGTCCATTTGCAGGAGCAAGTGGGCACGGTGCTGCAGCAGCCCCTAGCGCTCGGCTACCTGGTGTCGACGGCGCCGCTGGGCGGCATGCCGGGCTGGTGGTGGGCGGGATGCCATCACCTGCGCGACGCCTGCCCCGCCTTCCTCAAGAACGCGCTGCACCTGCACGCCGGACACCTGCAGACCGACGACATGTACTGCGCGCGAGACCACAACACTCACCCGCTGGACTCGCAGCTCACCACCGACGTGCTCAGGTATATACTGCCATCACCTGCGCGACGCCTGCCCCGCCTTCCTCAAGAACGCGCTGCACCTGCACGCCGGACACCTGCAGACCGACGACATGTACTGCGCGCGAGACCACAACACTCACCCGCTGGACTCGCAGCTCACCACCGACGTGCTCAGGTATATACTGCCATCACCTGCGCGACGCCTGCCCCGCCTTCCCTCTAAAGGCCTCTAATCGGAGGTCCTTCCGATTCCGTCGGCCCGGGCACGTCTTAAAGTACCCGGACGACGAAATCACCCGCGCCAACGCGCCTCCCGACTTCTCCCACACAGGCCACGAACACCGACACTACACAGCTAGCAAACTTGCTCACTAGCTTAGCATTAGCCAGACATCGCACCCGTACAAATGCAAAGACCCGGTCTACACGACACGCTATACCAGGTACAGATACGTACCTGGGCGTTTTTCCCCTCCCCCCACGACAACGGTTAACTAGAGCCGAGGTCCGAGTCTCAGATACGCCCTCTAGTTGAGCCGACCGCCTCAGATTCGAGTGGTCTCTAGACTCCAGACGGAGATGGCGGATCCACCTGGAATACCTCTAGAGGCACTCGCCAATTCTCGGCTTGAGATCCCCTTAGGATCTCGCCGTCCCCAAACCCGGTGACGCTGTAAAGGTTATCTGCGTAAACAGCATACACACAAAAAAAAAATACGTAGTCCCTGTCTACACAGACTGAGGGTCGGCTAGTAGCTTTAAAATGACAGTTAAAAAAATATAGAGGTCCAGATTTTGTTTCAATTAAATATTTCCCCTCCCTCCCCGGTTACCACATGGTATTTTTTTGTATATGTTAAAAAAAACATGGTAGTACCCCTAGTATATTTGAAGATATGAAAAGTTTAGTACTAAGAACATTTCTCTTTTTACTCAATTGTAAGATTTAGACAGTAAAAATACAAATTTTGTATACTTACGTAAATTCCACTGAAAATTACTAAAAAATACTAACCCGATTTCCCTCCTAACATATTTTCTTTATCCATGTTCTTTGTAATATATTGTGTGATAATGATAGCGCCCCATCACTGGCGTTCTATCCTGTCCTTCGGTCGCCTAAAAACTAATTAGTACCATAACTATAACACCATTATGTTTATCCAACAGATACGTATTGGAGGGCTACAACGCGCTGTCTTGGTTGGCTTTGGACGGGGAATCCCACGACCGCCGCTCGTGTCTGCCGATCCACGTGCAAATTTTGATGCAGCTATATCACACCGCCGCCGCGCTCGCGTAACGACACCAAACTCTATCATCACCATAAACAAACAGCTGGAGCGATAAACGACCACAGACTTCTGAATCCAGAATATACGGGAAAAGGTTATATTGTGCAACGGTTAATGTGCCAACATCAGGGCAAATGTCCATGCGTTCAGCAGACGTGAATTCCTCAAGGACGCGTTACAAATACGTGATTCTGAATTAGTAACAAGAGCCGCTGAAAACTCGTTCGGCCAATATCGTGATTGTAATAATATCGATTAAGATGTCTGTTAACAGCAAGCTATGATTATATGGATATTAATATCTACTCGATGTGTGGAGATGTCCAGCTCGAAGGACCAAACCTAGCAATCATTCTGATTGATCAACTGATTGCATAAAACATTTTGGGGCATGTGAGATCGTCCGGTTGGTTTGCTCATTAGAAGCGATCACTTTTCACCACGAGTGACGCCGCGGTACCTGATGCAGCTGCAGAAGCTGTGGCTCAACGAACAAGAGGCGAATCAAACGAAGTCGTTCGACAACATCGTCGTCGCCGTCGTTAGACCCAGTTGTGTAGACACGCCTCTAAGGTTTTACTGAAATTAACATTATTTATTGTACTCTATTTATTTGTTTGGAGCCGGCACCGGCAGGGAACGGAGGCGTTCGCGTAGGACGGTACTTAGGTAAATAATTGTAAGTGAATTTGAAAGCGGCAATACTCGCCACTGAGTATTGGCGAGGAATCCAAAGACGACCGCTGTCGGATACGGTCTTGACGCAGTTTGTGTACGCGTGAAGTGCATCCGTGCACTACGAGTTGCGAGCGAAACATTCATAAAGATATTTATTTTCAGTTATGTTATTTAATGTAGTGTGTACTTATCTATTTCGAGAAATAATTCAGCTGAAGTGTTTCGACTCAACTCGTGGTGTACGGACACTGATTGACTTTGTTACCACGCACAAACCTATCGAGCGTTAGAAGTCTAAAAGAAAAATTATAAGCTACTTAAGCCGGGATATTAGTTTGTTATATGACTATGTAACATTCGGTGGTCCAATTTTGGCGTATGGATGAGTTCCGATATGTAATTTATTTATGTTATAAATCTGAGATTAATTCTCGTCGAGGGCATTTCATATCCATTATTATGACAATGTTTCCTTTGCGACAAAGGAACCACTTCCACTGCAGTCTTTCTCAACAACCATACTTCCTGATCTCTCTCCCGCTAAGAAATCACCGTAAACCTCATTTTGTATAGAATTATTAGCATCCATTCCTATAGTTATTTACAGATACTGCGTACAATACTTTTATCCATTGCAAGTTAAATATAAAGCCTGAAATATAAAAAAAAGAAATGTTGAACTGATAAATTGTTCACTCATTTTAACATAAGATTAGTGTTATTATAAACATTAAGATTACGATTAAAGACTTATTTTCCCACACGATTGTATGTTTTAATATGGAGCAATCGATTCCTAATCGCTTCAGAAGTTTTGCGTCTTATTACGAGACAGGCGATAATTCGCTATATTCGACTTGCACTGGTTGCCATATTTTAGGAAATATTTTCACTTGTTTTTGTCTTCACGTTAGAAAAATATTGTCGAGTGTATCACCTACATGCATCCTAATCTCACATGAAAACATTGTCACAAGTTATCAACTGCAGTTGTAATAATATTATTGTGTTGTTGTGCCGTATGTGTAATGTAATATATAATTTTTATTTTACGTTATTGTGTTAAACCGGTATGAATTACCAAAGGAGTTAGCTATGTGTAATGTTTTTAGATATTTTAACACCATTATTTCTATAGGACACGTCTCATTTCACAGGGTTCTCGTTTCATCTCGGTATTGTTTTATTTAATGGTTGTCTACATCAATGTTTGTTTAATTTATCGAAAGCGATTATTTTTTATAAGCCTTTTTTACTTTTAAATACAATCCAATTTATATCGTGACTTTTTTATCGAACTCGATTTGTATATTCGAATCATGTAGTTTTACAAATTAGGGGAAAATATATTAGGCGAATTGACCGTTTGACTTAGCGACGGGGTATATACTCATGTACAGTTTTATACGAGGGAACAATGAGCTCAAGCACGCACCGTGCGGGCCCACGGTGCACCGGCGCGCGTGTGCCCACCAAGTGCAAACTTTTATTATGTAAGTTAAGTCTACCACCGGCCGCCTGTGCACTGTGGGGAACGCGTTATCTTCTAAAATAAATAAATACTAGATTATCATCTTATTATGATGACAAACAAACCGCCGATTGGAAACTAATAATTAACACCAATAGCTTACGTTACGTTTAGAGACCCCTAGATCATGTTTGAAAGTAGCATTTGTAAAATTAGACATCGTCGTTTTATATATATATATATACAAATATATATATGGAGTCCAAAAGAATCAACTTTAGCGTTGTTTCGACGAATCTCCGACAGTTTTGTAGTTATGAGAATTTTTTTATTTTAATATATAACTAAAGCATAAGTGTAGGGAAGTGAAACCGTGAGGGATAACCATGTAAATAAATCCAACAGAGCGTGAATCGTGTGGTTGCGCATTCATTATTATCATTGTGGTTTTTTATCGTTTTGTCTCGCATCTGTAGTCTGCGACAGGATAGTACTACACAGATCAGATACACAGTCAGCTTATCGAATTGAACAAACTGTTTAAAATCAACATTGGTTAACTGATTGTAGAGTCACAGTTTTTGTTGTTTAGTGTCTAATTATTATTAGGGGCGCGCGGTGGGCGGTCGCATCGATCGGAGCGCGCGCCGCGGACTTGGTAAATTATTTACTCTTATCAGCGGCTCGATCGCAGCTTAACTGAATTATGCCTAGTTGAATATGAAATGTTTTAAATGTGTTACAGCATTTGAGAATATTTAATGATGTTGTATATAGTTTATATTTTGTTTTGTAAAACGACTTTTTGTACATAGAGATGAAGTAATTATTTGCCCACATTGCCGATGTATAACGGAGCACGTTTTAAAGAAACCACTCGTAATATTTTGTACAGTTGTTAAGTGAGATTGGTAGTTGAATGAATTATTTTTAGGGTTTCGTTTTTGACCTCTTTTTGTTATTGTGAATTTGTCAATTTTTTTAGGGAATTGGGATCGTACTGTAAATAGACCTCACCATTTTGTCATATATTAGTTTTTAAGTGGTCAAATCTGATGATTGAAGTGGAAATCAAATTTTCTAAATGGAGCAATCATTAGAAATTCATAAAACAAAATAGTGTAATACTTGATATTAATATAACTTTATAAATAACTGTGAAAATAGGTAATAATAATTATGAATAAAATATTACATATTTAAAAAGTTTTTTTTATTTTCTCTTTGGTGTTTGCATGGAAAGGAAAATCTTTACTTCCAAATCATACTAGGATCCGCCCGTTTTTCATGTGAACCGGATATTATTTTTTTGATACGTTTACTCGACAGTTATACCAATTTGTGCGTTTTTTCTCACAATGAGATGACACTGAACTGAACTGTTTTGTTTTCGAGCCACCAAGATAAAGCTATAAAGTAAACACGGTTTAAAACTAACGATTTTGAAGTCTGGTTTTATTTTTTGTTTAAAAATAATTTTTGTTTCAACCCCTAATAAAAATAGCCCTACACATTTTGCAAATACAAAATACCTATATCTTTAAAAGTATTTCAAATAAAAAAAAATGCTTTTCTAAAAAAGTATTTAAATAGAAATAGGTATTTTGCATTTCAAATACTGTTATTTTTAAGAATTCACAACTCTGTTCAAATCTCTGAGTACTTAAACCTAAGGAGATGCCATAGTATTTCATATGAACAATCTGTTATACAAATATGATTGACATCGACGTTTTACTCATAAAATTGTAGCCATCTCATTTTAACTAACCATAATTTATTTATTTATATATAATACTCCACGCGAAAAGAGACAACACTATATTTGCCTGTACTAATAACCATGAAGTTATAGTTAACTATAATTCGCACGTACTTTTGGATTTACAACATGATATACAGGTTTTTTCTTCTAGTTTGTCAAGCCAGTGCGAGCTGATAGCGGAGTGCCATACCTATCAATTTAACCCCCATGTATGTTCTACGATTTTGCGTAGTTTTCGAGTTGGATTTTTTTCCCTTATTTTGTAAGTTCAACGATAAGACAACTTTAAAAAAGAACAACTTCTTTTTGGGTCGATATTACTTCGATTTTTTTAACATAATGCCTATTGCTTGTAGTTTTATAAGTAAAATAATCTCCTTTCTTACTTTAACCTAAGATATAAAAAATTTGATCGATACTAAATAAATGAATTATGTAAAACAGAATGGATTTTCAATTGAAATAAAAAAAAAAGAAAATAGATGTTCCATAACTTCTGATTAAATTTAAAATACAAGCAATAGGCATTCTGTTAAAAAAAATCAAAGAAAAATCGACCCAAAAGGAGGTTTACTTTTTTTTTGTTGTCTTATCGTTGAACTTAAAAAATAACGAAAAAAATCCAACTCAAAAACTACGCAAAATCGTAGAACATACATGGGGGTTAAATTGATAGGTATGTTACTCCGCTATCAGCTCGCACTGGCTTGACATCCTAGAAGAAACAACCTGTATATTGTGTGATATCCCACCAATATTAGAAAAATCTCAATGTCAAAAATCACTTTTAGAGGATATCGAAATATCGTCACCAAATTACTTGTGTTTATAAAGATATCGATAAACAATGGGACAGCACTATATAAAAGCGCCATTTTCATTACCTAGTAACTTTAAGTATACACGGTTTTCTCGTAGGTATGCCAATATGCTATCTCCATAGACTCAGAGGTTCAAATAGCAAAATCCAGACATATTCTTTCTTTGTATGGTCGCAGGCATTTTTACTTTCTACAGATTGTCTAAGATGAATAATCTTTGCCTTGACATTAACAACAACGAAACAAAATATTAAAATAACACTTAGGACAGAAGAGTTTTTGGCAGGATTTCATCGAGTGTGGTTGGCGTCTTATTTTAATTATTCTTAAATTCGTTCATAGTGGATATTGTGAAATAAAATTGGTGTGATTTTGTGTTACAACTGTCTGCGTAACTGAAGAATTAGTAGAATCGTCAAAATATACGCTATTCCGGTCGTGAGAATTTTATTGTAGTATTGACTTACTCACAGAAGCTTATCGAAAAAGTCAGCTCGATACATTTCGTGCCAAACACTTCAAGAAACATTAGAATGCGTCACACCGACATTCTAATGTAAAAAGAAAAACAGAATAATTTAACTTAAGACTAGGCTAGACTAGGCATTGTTCCCCTTGCCTTCCCTGAAAAGGGAGAATTTAACAAAAAAAAAAACACTTAGGACATTGACTGACATTTAGATTTCAGCGAACTACCACTTCAAAATCTTACCTTTAGAAAATAATTTAGTAAATATTCAATAAAAAACGGCTAATAATATAAATAACACTAAAAAGTTGGTTTGGTTGATGACAACTTGACAAGGTCAAAATTGTGCACTAAGTTATTGTTTACGTGAATTAGACGAGACGTTTAGTGTGTGTGAGCACTTTTCCGTGGTACCGTGCCGTGCATTATGAAAATAAACGAGAAGAATTTATCAGCTTTCGCGTCGTCCGCGACTCCGGTAGATCGCGACGGATGGCTCGACATGCGAGGCGAAATTGGAAAAAGCTACCAGAAGCGGTGGTTCACACTAAAAGGGAATCTTTTGTTCTATTTCGACAAAAAAGGTGATAAGGAACCAGTCGGAGTTATTATCCTGGAAGGATGCACTATAGGTCAGTCATTATTTAGTTATTGCTTATTTGTTAAAAGGAGTGCAAACAACTGTATGGCCCGCCATATGATAAGCGGGCTCTGTTGCCTTTTCTGCCCCAACCTGCTGCCCTTTGAGTGTTTTTATCTCTAAGAAAAGAACATAAGGTACCTATTGAAAATCAGAAATGCCACATAGATTCTCCATAACTTCTGATTCAACTGAAATTGGTAAAACTGTACTTCCAGGGCCCAAGAGGTAATACTTGTTTTTTTTTGTAGAAAGGTCTTTATCAATGAATTTTTCTTTCTGGCTCTTCACCGGCCGCTACCGAGGCACACTCTTTTTGCTCGCTCGGCTTGCATGTTATCTTCACAACACTAACATAACCTAACCTAACCTTGTGTGAAGTATCACCGTTTGGCCTGGCAAAATCTGCTAGGCACTACGATCAGTGTGCCCCTGGTCTCCTCAAACTGCCATTAAAACTCTTTTCTGCTGAGCATGTAACAGTCCAAAGGATTTATGTAAAGTAAAAAAATATGGATAAATTTCACAATAGTTTGTCAAATGGGAGGTGTTTAATGTCTGAAGATTTCTTTAAATAGGTGGCTTAATTGTATAAATTGTGTTTGCAGTGCTAACTTCAAAATGTATAATTGTGCATAATGTTAAGAATACAACTGTTTCTATGTATACATTTTTTATTATGTTTGTGAGCTGTTGGTTTTCCAAAAAGTAACTTGAAAAATGCAACTTGCCCTATATCTCATAATGAATCAGAATAGTAAAAGTGTTGTTGTTGTAAAACCGGATAGTAGCATTGGCAGTAAATCATGGGCTCAAAATCACCAAGGTGGTAAATCCACTTCGGCAGCAAATAAATGCCTAAATTCTGTATTTTTTTTAACATTTTAGCATTGGTAAACACTTAACTGTGTTTACTTTAACCACACATCACACAAAATAATTAAAAAGTCTTATATATTACATTTTATATGGACAAATAAGTACAAAAAATCATTTGGAGAACGCGTCCTAAGTGGCAATTCTTAAAAGCTAACACCAGAAATAGTCATAAAATAAAACATTTTTAACGGTTATTAATACCCATTTACCTTCAATTGTATCTAATATTACATTATTGAAAGCATTATTAAAGAAGAAAAACGAATTTAAAAAATCTAAGTCTAAATATAATGTCCGACAATATAAGCATCATGTTAGTGAACGCAGCTTTGATTACGCGAAACAAAAAAATTCGAACGCATCCCTCTTTAGTCTATGGAACAGCTGTAGAGAGAGTTGTAAACAAAGTGGCAGTGAAGAAAGTAGTTCGCCAAATGAAATTAAAATAAGTGGTAAGTGGCTTTCAATTCATTATTTACAGAGCGTACATCAATAGGTCGTCAATTGGGGAACGCGTTTTCCAATCAAAATTATGCAATAATAGCTTTTATAGTGTTGTATAACAAATGTTATAATCAAATATTTTACATTAAGGAAGCAAGAATTGCTGTCAAATATGGCTGCCGTTTAAAAAAGACGCGGTTATTTGAAAATATCATTTTGTGAACGGTCATTTGGGGAACGTTCTCCGATTTGATGGACCGTTCTCTAAATGATGTTGTTGTTCCCCAAATGACTATTTAGTTACTAATTGGTACTTTCTATTACTAACTGTCAATTTTGTGTATGTCGTGCTTACAAAGTTATCAATAGGTATACTAACTTTATTTTTACAGCAATATGGAGTCTCACAAAGCTGAAAAAAACCGTTCGAATAAGCAAATAAAGAAAAACAATACAGCTTACTTAAAGAAGTGAAGTCTCAGAACCCTACAACTCCCAATAGCAAAGTTAATGCATTGTTAGAAAACGTTGACGTACCTCCTGAAGTGCGCCAGAATCTTTTATTTATCGAAGTGAAATCTTTTATTTGAGAAAAAAATCCAAAGAGAGGGTAGTTTTTCAAAAATGTGTTAGCGGGATTATGGTAAGGCAATACAAATTGCTTCATAAGGTTAATTGTTTTTTGCCAAAAGAGAAAACCAGTACTATTCTCAAATCTGACGCCAAAATTCATGAGGTTGTTTTGAATAAAGAAGTTCGCGAAAAAGTCAAAGAGTTCTTCCAAAGAGATGATGTCAGTAGGGTGTGTCCAGCCAAGAGAGATTTCGTAAAGAAAAACGGGATTAAGAAGCAGAAACGCCTCCTTTCATGTTCAGTTAAAGCACTGACGTCAAGAGTTTTACTTGGCTGTGTCATCAATTATGAGACTAAAAAAGTGATTTAATTGAGTTAGAATTAAGTTCTTGTTAAGAAAATCTTATAGCAAATAAATAAATAACAATTACTTCCTATAATTTGGCTTATTATTCAATTTAACTGTGAATTAAACCCTAATTGTCTGCATATCGTCATTTGATGAATGCCCTCATCATTTCGGGGAACACCTCTAAAATCAAAGAAATGCCATTATAACATAAGTTATTTAGGAATAAAGTCTGACAATATTGGAAACAGGCTGAATCCCTATAGCTACAGCAGATTTATTTATATGCAAGTGAGCGATATTCACTTATTTTGTAAATTTAAGAACATGAAATAGTCATATAGCTTAATTCACAGCGACATTGTCCTTAAAAACGTTTTAATTCCAAATTTTGTCAAAGTTTTTTAAGTTCGTACTATTGGCGACGTATCTCCGTTATCGTTAAGGGTAAAAATGAAATATATATATATATATTTTTATTTAATTATAAACTTCCGAATACCGTTCCCCGAATGATTAATTTTAGTGATAGCACACTTAAAAATTGAAATTTCAAGAAAAGTATTTAATTCTATGCTCTGCCAAGGTCAATATAGTTTAACATAAGTTTAGTTATGATTTAGAGTAATTATCAATATATTTAGCTATTACTCTATAGCATCATAAAACAGAATTCAGTATTTTCCACCTTGGTGATTTTGAGCCCATGATTCCTAAATTATGATATTGAAAATCTGTTTCAGTATTATTCTGTTCTGTGTAAATTCAGCTGTATTTATTCGATCCAATAATGTATATTTCTAGAACTGACTGAAGAAGAAGCATATAGTTTCAAGATAGTGTTCCAATGTGAAGGAGGCCGCACATACTTCTTGTGTACTAACTCGCAAGCCTCAATGGAGGCCTGGATGAAAGCACTTGCATGTGCCAGTTACGACTACATGAAGCTCATGGTTGGTGAACTGCAAAGGCAGCTGGATGAAGCACAAGGTTCATACTGATAATATTAAGTTTTTGGAAAGTATTTAACATCATCATCAGCGTATTAATGTCCCCACTGCTGGGGCAAAGGCATTCCCTATGGATGAAATAGGGAATAAGGCTATGACTATGACCCACCATGAGGGCCCAGTGCGGATTGGGGGGTGCTAAAGACTGCAGATGCAGCCAGGTCCTACACAAAATAGGCACCAGGTGTTGAGTTGCAGAAAACACCCACCGTACAGAAGAAGAAGATGCAGTCGGGACCAACGGCTTAACGTGCCTTCAGAAGCACAGAGGAGCTCGAGATAATAAATTTTAAGTCACCCATCCAATGACCGACCACTGCGAAAGTTGCTTTACTTCAACGGTCGCAGCCGAACGCGCTAACCATTGAGCTCCTCAAGTCCTCCTGGAAAGTATTATTAAAACTTAAAAAAGTTACATGCAACAACAAAAAGGTCTGAGCCATTATTAAATGTGGTGTTTAATAAGATATTGCAATTATCTGTACTTACTATAATTACCTACTGTCTCTGTAATAAAGAGCCTTATAACTGCATGTTCATAAACTACAAAACCTAGACTAAAGTTAAACCTGGATGCTGCCACTTTTGTTTGCTAAAAATAAGACAGAGACAACATTAGGTTTAAACCAAAACCAACTTTAGCCCTTGTTTTGGAATAAGGCGGTTATTGGTTTTGATCTGACATCAGAATATAACTAAGACCCATTTTAAAATATATATCATGCTATTGTAGTACTACAAGTTTTGCAAGTCAGTGGAGCTATAAAATCATATATTTAAATTGTAGCTGAAGCAGCTGCAGAAGCAGCAGCTCTGGTAACCATCACACCACCTGAGGAAGAACCAAAGGTGCCTCCGAGGGGCCAGCGGTACAACCCCTTCAACAGAGGACTTGAAGGAAGTGAAAGTAAAACTGTTCAGGGCAGTCGACATCGTAAGTAATGTTATTATTTCATTAGTTTTGAATGACAGTCACAGTATTTTCAAGCAAGACTGATTATCTGGACCACTTTCACTATTATGAATCCACTTAGGTAGCAGAAAGTTATCATTAAATTCTTTCTAATTTCTTTTTAATTACAGCCATTTATAGAGCTAAATTTTTTGAACAGTAAAGTCTGAAGGAGGATCATTACTAGGTCAGCAAATCCACTCTAAATCAACAGTATAATGATCTAATAAGCTTTTTAATCAATATACTTTTTAAATCATCAAAATCAGTTCATTCATTGCAATAACATTTTTTTGTAATTAATTTTATGGTAGCTATTATCAGTAACTAATTACATGTACAACTAGTCACTAATTTTATGGTAGCCGCCGGTGAGGCGGCCGAAGCCTGTGACGTCACAGAGCTCGATCGTGGTTCACTCCGGTCAAACTTTAGTAGCGTCTCGATGCACGCTCGCGCCCGAATGCTAGAGGTCTGTGACGTCACAGTCACCACGAGCGCGGGCGGACAATTCGTTTAATAATTTGGCCATAACCTCGTCAATATTTGTCGTAGAACAAAAATTTAATCACTGTATTTATGGACTCTTTAGCTCTATAAATCTGCATTCTCAGCTAAAATCGTTACGGATCCTCATTACAAAGTACATATTTTTTTTGTGATTTCTATAATATTTTCTTTATTACACTGAAGTGGTATTTTAATATCTTTATTACAGACAAAGAGAACTTCAGACCAGAGGTGGCCCGCAAAAAGGTGCCTTTCCGCGACATTCACACATCGTACGGACGAAAGATACTGGCGGATCGAAACGAGTGGCGCACCAAGCTCGCCAAACAGAAGACAACCACTGATCAACCACTCATAGAGTTATAAGCGGGGAAGTGACAAAGGTTTATGAATGTTTACCAAGATTGTAAAATAATGTATCAAACAAAAGTGAGAAACTTACTGTAAACAACTAAATCGTGATTGATTTGTGCCCGACCTTGTTTCGGAGTCAGACATTGACATGTACTAGTATGGCGGATTGTTTAAAATTATGTATCAAACAAAAGTGAGAAACTTACTGTAAACAACTAAAACATGATTGATTTGTGCCCGACCTTGTTTCGGAGTCGGACATTGACATGTACTAGTATGGCGGATTGTTTCCGAAACTCGATGACGCTTGATGACTATTTTGCATATGGCAAAGTGAGATACCAGAAATTGGCTTACCATTTAAATAACAATAATAAATTATTAATAAAGAATAAGAGTCAGCGGATGTGGTACTAGTCAGCGATTGTCGTAAGGTTGATATGATGAAGATTCTTGAGCTATAATGTCTGTGTAGCATTATACCGGTGTACCTCAGGGAAGTGCCCTCAGTCCGACACTATAAACGACCTAACAAATATTAACATTGGGAGAGGCAAAGTATTTTCCTATGCCGACGATACTGCGATCGTGTTTTCGGAGTCGTCGTGGAAATCAGTATTTGAGGTAGCCACAAAAATTTCTAAATGGCTAAAAAAGGACCTCCTTACTTTGAACAATAACAAAAACTACATGTGTTTTTCTATAAACAACAGAACACAACCTCAAAATGATTTATCGGTGAAAATACATGAATGTGACGGTCAAGACTATTCCACTTGTATGTGTACTCAGCTCCAGAAGGTTTCTACCAATAAAAAATAATTGTGAGTTACACTAAACCACAAACTATTGTGTCGTCCTCAAATTGAGAATGAGACAGTACGCAAACTTACCTTATTAGTGCAATTTGTTCTATAGTATTCTATTTCTACCTTATATTTATTTTGGTAAAATGGAACGCGCCCGTTTCACTTGTCAAATTGTATCAGCTGGTTTTTAAATTATCAATACTAGGTTTTTCGTGTTATTTCTGTTTAAAAAATTATGATTTCAAATGGGACTAAGGCCTGTATTACAATGACATCGAAGTGTTGATCTTAACTTGAATACAGTTAGAAAGGGATGTCGCTATATATAGCACATAGCGACATCCCTTTCTAACTATGCTCAAGACTAGTTTCATTACTGAGAATCTTTCTATAATACGGGCCTAAGTTTTACTATGCTTAATAACATAACTTAATATCGATTCCAAAACTCAATGTTCATTATGAATCTAACAATTTAGATATTTATTTAATGTTCTTACCATATGCACAAATAATTTATAGCAATTTAGATTTTAAATTATAGTTTTATGATAGTCAACGACTTGCCTTAAGGAACTGTGTGTACGCTTAAATGAGTATTAAATGAAACTAGAATTTTGTATTAAGTAGTTTATTTTTAAAATCTTTGTTACATAAACCAACACAACGTCAACTGATAGAGGGGAGGAGAGTCGTAACATATCTATTGGGTGGTGTCACGCTGGGACCGGTGTCCATCACACGGGGCGATCGTTTGGTATTTTTATCATTTAATTCTCTTACTAAAGGGCAACTAGATAATATTGAGCAATACGATACAACTAGGGCCCCAGAGTCACGGACACATGTCCCCAACGAACCCCACCCGGTGTCACACTATACACAACAAAGTGAAATATATACGAGAAGCACGTGTTCGGAAGACGGATTTCAAAATGCCCACATCGAAAACTGGTAACGAGTTAACACACAATGACACAGGTTAAGGTACAGTGATAAAACTGAAAAAAAAAACGTCAAACTTCAACCGTCTAAATAATGTGTTAATGTTTAAAAAAACAATATAATATTCATCTATCAATATTACAAAAAAAATAATGCGTTGCGCATTTGCTATTGTGACATACGCGAACTGCACGTTAGCCTCTGATATCAAATAATACTTCTTTTTTTAAAACAAACTCATTGATGCCGAAAGCGTACGTCACAATATTATAATGTTTCGTCTCGCGCATAAATAAATCATGTGGAACATTTCATAAAGTCTCTATTACATGTCGAATACAATTCTCTTCAATGTCCGTAGGACTATGTGACGTATAAATCTAGACAAAAAATAAATGAACAGGCGCGCGAGTCCATGCATAAGGATACCGTCTCTAATGTTGTGACATAACTAATATTCAATGATAATAATAGTTCGTCATACCGAAAACATTATAATAAACAAGGCACAGTTAAGATATATTTTTAAAATATATTTCACTCGTACGTATAATGATCTCGCGGAGGTTCTCACGAGACGTACATCGTCGCGCGCCCCTAACACCCAATAAAGTGCGAACGTCATAAATACGAAAAAATATTTGGTAACGATTCCTTAAAGATTAAAACGAAATACGGTACACTAGAGAAATGGTCACGACAGGTGAAAGAACCGTTAGTATTTACAATAAAAAATAAAAGTATTTAATTTTTTTTTACAAGTACTCGTAACATCACTAACCAACTCACTACGTCTAACTTAGGAAATTAGTGAAAGGACTTAAATAAAAGAAAGAACAGGCTTTTAAATAGTAGAATGAATGTACAGACTATAGTTAATTAAAATTACAAAGTAAAAAACAATACGTAACGTTATATACAATTTGTGTGGTGGGTGGGAAAACAATCTGGCCACTTCTTATAGGGAAACATGCTTTTTGGTCTTAAGAAAGTAACTTAACACTAAACATTATAATTACGGAGTCAGTACTTCGATAACAATAATTTAAGACGAAACTCATTACTGGACGCTTAAGTAGAATACAAATAAAACATAATTGCAAATGACCTCTAGTTGGTCCTTCGAGCAGCCGCATCTTACGGGCTCATACATAGTTAGTATACATTTTGTGACACATCCTTACTACCTGAATACATTTACATAGATAAAATATCATATTTGGGGTTACAATAAGTCATATAATAATGATACAAAACCGCACATATCAAAGGCATTCTCGGCCCTTGCCTCACACAGCTTACCACTAGATAACGGAACGTGGTAAAACCACAAACATTCCCTGTCATGTAAATATACTTCATACAGGTGGTTACAATAATGTCATGTTAATACGATCTAATATAATAAACATTTGATTAAATGTATAGAATAAACATTTGGGGCGGGACGTTAAGCTAAGTGGCCAGGATGCGTGAGTGAACACAACTCGTGCACTTTGGCTACGCGTTTAAGCGCTATGCAGCGTTTGTAGCGCTGCATGGTGAAGTAGTATAGCTGTACGCTGCCCGCAGGTCACAGCTCGAAGCGCTTTTTCCGCTCAGCGACCATCCCCACGAGCGGCGACATTGTCGCGCGACCGCTCGCCGAGCAGCGCTGCGACGCTTTTAGTTCTAGACATTGAAAACACGATTAAATTAAATGTACTATGATCAAAAGGTAATCGATGACGCGTTCGGCTGCGATAGTTGGATGGGTGACCAAAAATTTACTATCTCGACTTCCTCAGTGCTTCGGAAGGCACGTTAAGCCGTTGGTCCCGGCTGTATCTGCAGTCGTTAGCACCAACCAATCCGCATTGGGCCCGCATTGTGGGTCATGGCCCAATCTCCCTATTCCAAACATAGGGAAGGCTTGTGCAGTGGGAACATCAATAGGCTGATGATGACCTCCTTTTTATGATCATCACACTAATATTATAAAGGCAAGTTTGTGAGTGTGTATGTTTGTTACTTTTCACGAACGGCTGAAGCGATTTAAATAAAATTTGGTATGGAGTTAGGTGAATTCTGGATAAACACATAGGCTACGTTTTACTGTAGGAAAATATACCTAATAACCGCGGGGCACAGCTTGTTGATCATAAAGAGGTCATCAGATCAGAGGGAAGGGATCGATGGAGGTTATAGGTTATGCAACTTTTACAATGGCCGGCCATAGTAGAGGTGACCAAAAATTTGTTGTTTCAAGTTCCTTCGTGCTACAGAAAGCACGTACATGATATTACGTGCCTTCTGCAGCACGAAGGAACGGCTGATCTTCAGTAGTCAGCATTCACCAATTCGTACTAGGCTTACAAGTAGGGTCAAAGTCCATCCTTATTTCATTCATAGTTAAGGCCTGTTCCTTCAGCAAGGGGATATTAATAATAAAAAAATCGCCATCAGAAAACAAATGTTCGGTGAGTGTCAGTCATATCGTGTTTCTAAGCGTGAATTGTGAATTTATCATTTTAATTTTGTATTTTACATAATTTACAAATGCACAACGAAAAAGACTAATCGGCTGCGATCGTTGAAGTTAAGCAACTTTGGCAGTGGTCGGTCATTGGATGGGTGGCCAAAAATTTACTATCTCGAGCTCCTCCGTGCTTCGGAAGGCACGTTAAGCCGTTAGTCCCGGCTGCATCTGCATCCACACTGGGCCTGAGTGGTGGGTCATGGCCCAAACTCCCTATTCTATCCATAGGGAAGGCCCGTGCCCCAGCAGTGGGGACATTAATAGGCTGACGATGAAGGTAACATTTACCTGGACGGGTGAGAGCTGCATGTTCCTGGTGCTCTCTGTCTTCGCGAACTGAATCTTGGCGGGCCGCGCCGGCCGCACCGCCTCCAGCAGGGGACTCGCTCGCGACGATTTCCCCTGCACAATACACCACTGTTACCTCCCCGATCATAATTTTTCCAAAGGACATCGTGTGAGAAAGCTGTGTTATCCAGTTACTAAACAAAGACTTATGTGCGGTGATTCACATAAAACTATTTTAAAATAAATCTGTTATTAATATTACCTAAAATAAAACTGTACCCTTAGCGCGACCCAATATCGAATTCGAATAGTTGAATTCGATCTCGACATACGTCAGATGTCAAAAAGTTTTGTATGGACGATTTTACGTAACGGAAAGAAGATTTTACGTAACGTAACGTTTAATTTATTTTTTGTTTTTTTCAATAAATAAATTAAACTTTTTAAGCGGACGTAACGAGAACTTATTACATTCTTTTACGCTGCGCTGCGCTGTTAAAATTTTAATTACTTCTTGACATTTGACACATATTGACATCGAATTCAACTATTCGAAATCGATATTGGTTTAAGGGTTTTTACTAAGGGTACTATTGATCAACACTTGCCCAACTGATATCGTGTCAGAAAGCTGTGTGTTATCTATCCAGTTACTAATCAAAGATTTCTGTACGGTAACTCACACAAAACTATTTTTAATTTATTGATTAATTTGGTAAATTAGAATTTAGTTGTCTATAAGTACAATATAAGATATATTTATTATAATACAGTTCAAACTTAAAATACCACGACCGTGCAATAATTTAAACCACACCAAACTCGTATAAAACCCAGTGAGTGCAAAGCAAACCTCTTTATTTTAAATTATTATTTAGATTAAGGATGTAATGAAATAATGTAAAACTTAAAACTAAATGTAAGCTGTTAACTGTAAAAAATGCGTAGTACCTGCTCACAAATTCTCATTTAATTTTGAAAATATACGTAGCTGTGAAATGATAGTGTTATTTTGATATCAAATAAAATGTAAAAAGTATCATTATAAATAATATTTAGTTCAGCCCTATTCCTAAAAAATGTAGGGTAGGTTACATTTGTTGGTGTACTCAAAAATTGTTTCATAAAAAAATTAACATTCGACATTAACGAGAAAAACATTTTTACACAGAAAGTTTCTTAAAAAGTCTTTGACTTCTTAAGATACATTTGCCAATACTGCTACATTTGCCAATACTACGTAGTTATAGATAGCAGGCGCCCAAGAATCCTCGCTGTGTCCACAGCAGATGTAAACTAATGCCTAAAACAGATTATAATTTCAATCGCGTGTAATTTAATAGCCAAATACGTCCGAATGACAAGACAAACTTTTCAAGTATCTACTTCTGTTGATTTTGATCGCGCGAGTAATTTAGCAACCAAATATATTCGAATGACAAACTTTTAAAGTGGATCGGTCTAGCTCCGTTACCTGTGTGCCTATGATGTCGGCGCCAGGCTGCGGCCAGCTGCCTCAGGTGCGCCCACAGCGGCGCCTCCGCCCCATGCTGTTAGTGCACCACGACCACAGTACAGCCAGTATACAGCCAGTGACGACCACCACGCCCGACCTCAACTACTCCCCCGCCCCCGACCCTCGCGCGTCCGGCTCGAAGGACCAACTACCGCAGGCCTATTACGTAAGCTGAAGCAACTAATGACTGTTCCGCGACTGAGTTTGATGCACTATTGATGTGACACATCTTTTGGCGCACGTAAAACCGATTTCTGGTGTGGCGACGCTCGCCCGTAAAATGCAATATATACTAGTGCTCAACTACTCGCCGATCAGTACGGCGCCAGCGCCCTTCGAGGTAGGATTTATATCATTTTTTACCGCACGCATCCCGAGCAATTCTCCGTGTGTATTTATCGTAAACCGGCTAGTGTTTCAAATCTGCCGGGCGTCCCGTGACGGCTCACTTTTATTTTGTAATAAAACGCCATCGAATCACATTATTTATAGTGTAGTGTAGTTTACATTTAAAATTTTATTTTAGCACCAAATTGAGGGACTATTTTCGTCAAGCAATTTTGTAACGTGTAACTAATTTGCAAATTCGTCGCTAGTCAAATAATAGGCCTGCGGATCAACCCAAACAATAAATGGTATGGACGGATCTCGGTTGTAAGGAACATAGGTTCAAACTACGTGGAAACACGAGTCAGGTTTGTACTTAGCTAAGCTAGCATTAAAATAAAACGGTTCGAACTATAGTGTGAAGGAGACAGCATATGTAACGATAGTATGCGCTTCTAGCTGCCATGACACTCGCTCAGGGACTAAGAATGCGCTAAATTAGTAACTGTTTTCGCATAACAGGTAATTGATGCAATGTTTACTGACACATATGAGATCCCAAAAAAAATATCGTCGAAATCCGTCCACACTGTTTATTTGGGTTCAACTTCACTTTACTTAATTCAATAAATAAATTTGGACACCAATTGAGGGAATTAGTTCAGTTCGTGCGTGATTTGGAAAACATCATTCTAATAGCAATTTAAAATTTATTTACAAGAAATAAGAAGGCAGTTGTCTAATTTGATTGATATTTCAAGTCGTTTTTTGAACTAATAATTGTTGTAAGAATTTAAATGTAACCAATTGAAATGGATGATCGTGATACGTGCGATGACGTAATGCAAGCGTGGGCGCGTATGCTCTAATAGTGCGATGAGCGCGACTCAAGCGTCGAATAGCAACAAGCGTGTTCAGTGAGTACGGTGACTTTTAGTGAGCAACAGTGAGTGTGGACTCACCGGAGCAGTCTCCTCGATGAGTTGCCCGAGTGAGGACGCTTCGCCGTTCTTCATTTCGTTCGCTTCCGATATTATGTGGGCGCGGAGTTGCTTATTTCTGCAAATAAAATGTACAAAGGTGAGTTAATACTGTTGAAAGTTTTGCATTGGAAGCAGGGGTGGAGTATGTTTTGTTCTTTTCAATTCTGAAAGAAAGATATACACAAGCTACAGCCATAAGCAGGATCTCCTAGATTCGTTATTCTACTAAGATGATGATAGTGGGAATTTAATTGAGAATATGAAATGGAAAACAAAAAACGATCCGATATAAAATCTGTGGTTGAGTGTGAATTGTATCTGTCCGGTAATATAGAGTGAGTAGTAATCGATATTTGTAAATAGGTAATTAGTTACTATGAAGTCTGATACAGATCGGACTTAATAACTCACAGAAGTGTCTATATAGTGAGTGTTATGAGTGATAAGTAAGATAGGTAATGTGTGGTGTAGTGTGCATGGGCGTGGCTATGGGGGAGCAAGGATGGGGCCTTGCCTACCCTCTCTGCCCACTCTGAAATTCGACAATTGAAATTTGTTTTAGCAGTTTATTAATTTAAGAATGTAACTTTAAATGGAGAGCTGTCCCCCCTAGGGAAAATTCCGGGCTAGGCCAATGGTAATGTGTATGATCTGACCTGGAGTCCAGCTGCATGTGCGCGTGTGCGCTAGTTGCCGCGTGGCGGCCGTGTGGCTGTGAGTGAGTATGTATGAGTGTAGTGTAGTGTGTGTGTGAGTATGTATGAGTGTAGTGTAGTGTGTGTGTGAGTACGTATGAGTGTAGTGTAGTGTGTGTGTGGGTACGTATGAGTGTAGTGTGTGTGTGTATGTACGAGTGTAGTGTAGTGTAGTATGTGTGTGTGTATCTGACCTGGAGTCCAGTTGCATGATGTGGTTGCGCGCGTGCGCTAGTTGCTGCGTGGCGGCCGCGAGTCTTTCTTCTAATGCGGCCGACTCCACGCATTTCACTGAGTACTTCTCCGACAGCGACAGGATCTCGCGCTTGATCTCCTCCATCTCTTGCCTGGAGAATTGGAAATGGGAACGGTTAAAACTGTGCAGCTTTAAGGTTACAAACAATTTGGATTTGGTAAAAGGTAAACATCTCAAGACCTTGCTTCTCGGCTATAGAAAACGATACATAAAGATCAAGAAACTTCAAGTCACCGCAAAAAGTCAAATTTTCTCATTTAATTGTGAACCTTGAAACATTACCCATAGCACGAACCAATATCGAATTGTAATAGTTGAATTTATGGCAATTTGAGAAGTGCCACAAAGAACGTTACAAGAATTAAAAATCTTCCATATAAAATTCCTTGACATTTACGCTTCGATTCATGCTAAGGGTACTCCGAGATCCGTTAACGACTTTTTCTTTTTTGTATACACTGTTGGGAGCTGACGACTTCTACAGCATCTCCGGATTACGGGCGGTGAGGAAACTCTCAGCCGGAAGAAATATACGTAAAAAAACCAGTTACGATTAAATACAAAATTTTCCCATTTATAAATCTTATTTAAAACTGGACATTTTAATATTCAATGATGAAGAAAAAGCAGATGGGGTTTTGTATGTTTGGCCCATAACAAGGAACCTGTAACGTCAAGGCTGCTTTCTAAACCTATGCTCTGAGTGTAACTTTTTACCTTAACGTTTGAATTTTGATATAAAATGAAACTTACGTCAAAGTTGACATTTGTTACAACTGGGGCGTAGGTTTGGAATGCAGCCCAAGTCTATCGGAATTTCCCAGTTTTTCTTTTGACTTGGACAGCTGTCTCGCTTTGTTGTTTGTTGTTATGGGCCATGCGACATTTTCGCCTCTAAATAAATAATATATTATAGCGATGAGAACGCCAATTGTTCACTATTATAAGTTTTGTCCTAGTGTGTAATATTTAATGTGGTGTGCACAATAAAGTGTTATCTATCTATCTAAATAAATAAATTGACAGTTATCTTCCCCATTGGCTAATTATCACTGTTTCAATCATTCACCGGTATCTGGAGTTGAGCTGCGATAGGTCGTGCGAGGCGCCGCGACTCAGGATCTCCGCCTTGAACTGAATGATCGAGTGAGTTAAGAGTAATGTCACAGTTTCAGTCACTCACTGGTGCCTAGAGTTGAGCTGCGACAGGTCGTGCGAGGCGCCGCGGCTCAGGAACTCCGCCTTGAACTGAACGATCGAGTGAGTTAAGAGTAATGTCACAGTTTCAGTCACTCACTGGTGCCTAGAGTTGAGCTGCGACAGGTCGTGCGAGGCGCCGCGACTCAGGAACTCCGCCTTGAACTGAACGATCGAGTGAGTTAAGAGTAATGTCACAGTTTCAGTCACTCACTGGTGCCTAGAGTTGAGCTGCGACAGGTCGTGCGAGGCGCCGCGACTCAGGAACTCCGCCTTGAACTGAACGATCGAGTGAGTTAAGAGTAATGTCACAGTATCAGTCACTCACTGGTGCCTGGAGTTGAGCTGCGACAGGTCGTGCGAGGCGCCGCGACTCAGGAACTCCGCCTTGAACTGAACGATCGAGTGAGTTAAGAGTAATGTCACAGTATCAGTCACTCACTGGTGCCTGGAGTTGAGCTGCGACAGGTCGTGCGAGGCGCCGCGGCTCAGGAACTCCGCCTTGAACTGAATGATCGAATGAGTTAAGAGTAATGTCACAGTATCAGTCACTCACTGGTGCCTGGAGTTGAGCTGCGACAGGTCGTGCGAGGCGCCGCGGCTCAGGAACTCCGCCTTGAACTGAATGATCGAATGAGTTAAGAGTAATGTCACAGTATCAGTCACTCACTGGTGCCTGGAGTTGAGCTGCGACAGGTCGTGCGAGGCGCCGCGGCTCAGGAACTCCGCCTTGAACTGAATGATCGAATGAGTTAAGAGTAATGTCACAGTATCAGTCACTCACTGGTGCCTGGAGTTGAGCTGCGACAGGTCGTGCGAGGCGCCGCGGCTCAGGAACTCCGCCTTGAACTTGTCGACCTCGCGGCGCACCTCGTTCTCGTGCGCCTTTCGCATCGCGTCCAGCGCCGCTAGTGTGGCGCGCGTCTCTTCAGCCAACGCTTGTTCTTTGTCCAGCCTGTGAAAACATTAAAATTGAGTCAGATAACATTCTTGCAATCACAGAGCCTGTAAATAATTATATGAAAACTAAAAAGCGTTCTCCTGATCAAAATTTAACGCATGGTCATCTGAACAGTCCTATATAATGTTTTGGAAAATTCATACGCACGACGACGCGCGACCACTGAACTTAGCCTAAACGTCAGCTATCAACTTAAGAATTTTAGCAAAAACAAAGCATGTATGTATATGTATAGCCAATACGACCAAGTGAGGTGCTGGAATTATATCAAACTAGTGGCCCGCCCTCGCTTCGCTTCGGTGTAGAGCTGAAGTGTAGACTACAGTTTTCGTTCTCAGGCTTGTATTATACACAATGACATTCATCTATGATTCTTCTTATATCTGCATGCAAAGTCTCAGCCCGATCGGTTTAAAATTGACAAAGTTTCATACAAACTTTCATTCCCTTTTTTATACCCTTGGGGGTAGAATTGATCAAAATCCTTTCTTAGCGGATGCCTACGTCATAACATCTACCTGCATGCCAAATTTCAGCCCGATCCGTCCAGTGATTTGGGCTGTGCGATGATAGATCACTATGTCTGTCAGTCACCTTTGAATTATATATATATATAGATATAGAAACTACACGTAATAATGTATACCTGAGCATTTCTCACACGCTGCGCGGAGTGAGATCTCCGGAGCAAGCAGAGCGCGCGACGCTTGAATTCTGTATATCTACTAAAGGTAGAAAGTTCTAGAAATACCATAATTAGGTATTACCTGAGTTGATCTCTTTCGGCGCGATGTTTTTCCTCCATCTCTCGCACGATGCGGCGGTGCGAGCTCTCCATAGCAAGCAGTCCCTTCTCGCAGAGCGCGCGCAGTTGCTCGATCTCTTGTTGGTAGCGCGCGCGCAATCCATCGCCGTGCGTGTCCGCTGCCACGGCACTCTGCACCGTAACATGTTCACAATAAGTATCACAATGTTTTGTGGTTTATTTAATACTGTAATCAGATTATTTTTTAATTATAGAAGGTGTTTTTTTTATTGGAAATGTTTGCTTCGATTGATTGCTATAATAAAATGGTATAATCATGTTTTGTCTGTTACATCATCCCTCCTAGATCATATAGTGTAGGAAAAAATACAATTCGAAATTATGCCGTGTTACTTTGGCGCCATTCAACAACAGAAATCCTTACTTGTTTGGCTTGGCTTTCGATCAATTCGATAAATTTTCGTAAATCACATATGTCATATTTCAGGATGCTACGCTGATGACGAACTGAGACTCGAATTTTGAATCAAAATTTGAATCGCAACTCGCACGGTTGCCCTAGACTAGACAACCACGGATGTACAGTGAATGGTCTGTTTGGTATCGATTCTAGATGCTGCATGGTATGTTTTATGGCATATGCGGATTAAGGAATCGAGAAGTTAAATACCTAAAAATAACATTGATGTTGTTTTTATTTATTTAGTTTGACTTTTTATATTATATTATTTTATATTTACATTTTTTTAGATAGTTAAAACTATTTTAGTCAGTGCTAGAGTTTCGTGCCGCGACTCATAAGAAGTAGCGGCCTCGTACTGTTACGCACCTGGTAGGCAGCGCGCAGGTTGTCCAGCTGCGCAGCGTACTCGCTGTCGAGCGCGGCGAGGCGGCGCTGCAGCGTGCGCGCGCGCTCCCGTAGCGCGCCCCGCTCGCGCTCGTGCTGCGCTTGTAGCTGTTAGGGAGGGGGACACGCACCTGGTAGGCAGCGCGCAGGTTGTCCAGCTGCGCCGCGTACTCGCTGTCGAGCGCGGCGAGGCGGCGCTGCAGCGTGCGCGCGCGCTCCCGTAGCGCGCCCCACTCGCGCTCGTGCTGCGCTTGTAGCTGTTAGGGAGGGGGACACGCACCTGGTAGGCAGCGCGCAGGTTGTCCAGCTGCGCCGCGTACTCGCTGTCGAGCGCGGCGAGGCGGCGCTGCAGCGTGCGCGCGCGCTCCCGTAGCGCGCCCCGCTCGCGCTCGTGCTGCGCTTGTAGCTGTTAGGGAGGGGGACACGCACCTGGTAGGCAGCGCGCAGGTTGTCCAGCTGCGCCGCGTACTCGCTGTCGAGCGCGGCGAGGCGGCGCTGCAGCGTGCGCGCGCGCTCCCGTAGCGCGCCCCACTCGCGCTCGTGCTGCGCTTGTAGCTGTTAGGGAGGGGGACACGCACCTGGTAGGCAGCGCGCAGGTTGTCCAGCTGCGCCGCGTACTCGCTGTCGAGCGCGGCGAGGCGGCGCTGCAGCGTGCGCGCGCGCTCCCGTAGCGCGCCCCGCTCGCGCTCGTGCTGCGCTTGTAGCTGTTAGGGAGGGGGACACGCACCTGGTAGGCAGCGCGCAGGTTGTCCAGCTGCGCCGCGTACTCGCTGTCGAGCGCGGCGAGGCGGCGCTGCAGCGTGCGCGCGCGCTCCCGTAGCGCGCCCCACTCGCGCTCGTGCTGCGCTTGTAGCTGTTAGGGAGGGGGACACGCACCTGGTAGGCAGCGCGCAGGTTGTCCAGCTGCGCCGCGTACTCGCTGTCGAGCGCGGCGAGGCGGCGCTGCAGCGTGCGCGCGCGCTCCCGTAGCGCGCCCCGCTCGCGCTCGTGCTGCGCTTGTAGCTGTTAGGGAGGGGGACACGCACCTGGTAGGCAGCGCGCAGGTTGTCCAGCTGCGCAGCGTACTCGCTGTCGAGCGCGGCGAGGCGGCGCTGCAGCGTGCGCGCGCGCTCCCGTAGCGCGCCCCGCTCGCGCTCGTGCTGCGCTTGTAGCTGCGCCCGCGCACGTCTCGCCGCGGCTAATGCGCCCGCCTGCTGTGCCAGCGCACACTCGCCGCGCGCGCGCTCAGCCTGAAGCCTAATTTATAGAACACAGGTTTTAGTGTTTATTTCCATGTGCAATTGATACGTGTTTGGAAATCCGGCTCGAAGGACCAACTTTTCATAATAAATGTTTTAGTGAAAAGTAATCTTGGATTAAACAATATTGATATAAGCTATTACAATTTTACAAAAATAAAAAATAGAAACAAGATTCTTAATTAATTTATTTATTTATTGAACGCATTTATATTACAGATCCGAAACAGTTTATTATATTTTTTTTACTGTACAACTGAGAAAGTTGCATTACGCATAAAGAAAATTTCTTTTGCCGTATGTAAGGATTTGTTAGGTCAAATGAATACCTGTCTAACGCGTCCTGTAGCTGCTTGCAGTGCTGGCAGGGCACCAGCGCTTGCAGAGCCTCGACGCGGCGACGCAGCGCTTCCACGCGCTCCAGCACCGATCGCCCCCCCTCCCCCTCCTCGCGCGGTTCGTCTTCCTCCACCCCCTCCTCCCCCGCCAGCCGCCGCGCCACCGTTGCCACCGCAGCCTCCACCCGCTCGAGGCTCTCGCCGATCTTCATCGAGTCTTCACTGTTGCCGGAACAGTCACTGGAGAAGAGCGCTCGGCACTCGTTCGAGAAGCGCTGGAACAGGTACACGAACTCCGCCTCCTCGGCGGGGTCGGCCTCCAGCGAGGAGACGGCATCCCCGGCGCAGGGGAGCGCGTCCTCGCTGACGGGCCCGGCGGCGCGGTGCGTGCCCTCCAGCACCGCCACGCGCGCGTCTACCAGTGCCCGCAGCGCCACCACCTCCGCCAGCGCCGCCAGCGCGCCCGGGGCCGGCGACCCCGCCCGCACCCCGCTGCCGACGCTACCCCCGCTCGCGCCCGCCAGCTCCCTCGCCACGTCCTCCATTTCAGCGCGCAGGCGGTCGTGCGCGGCGCTCCACCAAAGCTCGAGGTCGGCGCGGTCTTGCGCCACCAGCGTCAGGTGTGAGTCCCGCGCGTCGTCCAGTCGCCGCTCGCACAACACCGCGGCCCGAGACAGCGCCCGCGCCAGCTCGGCCCGCACCAGCTCCGCACCGAGCGCGTCCCGCGCGGCCGCCCAAGCTTCCCCGCATCTGCGCGCCGCCTCCGCCCCCACCTCCCCATCTCCGAGCGTAGAGCGCAGCTCCGCGAGCCTCTCCCGCTTGTACCGGTCGACAGCCTCGCCGACCTCCCGCTGCGCTGCTCTTAAAGCATCGAGGTCGGCCTCGTGAATTGCGAGATGTACACGTCTCGGCCGCGCCTCCCGCGAGGCGTCGGCGAGGTCGATGCGCCGCGACAGTATCCGCGCGAGGTGGTCGAGTGAGCTCCTGGTCGCACCGGCCGCCCGCGGGGCTTCCCCGTTGACTCGGCGCCGCAGGTCATCGATTAACCGGTCGGTCTCGGCGATCTCGGCGCGCACGAGCCGCGCGAAGAACGCCCCGCCGTCGGCGGCATTGAGCGCCTCCTGGATCTTGCCGACGAGCACGGCCTCGTAGGCGAGCTTCTCCGCGAGCAGCTCGAGGCTTCGCCGCTGCGTCAGCTCGCCGGCCTCGTACAGCGCCGCCTTCCTCCTCGAGATCTCGAGCAGCTTCGTCCGCAGGCGCTCCTCGAGCTGCGCGACCGCTCGTGCAACTCCGTCGTCTATCTCCTGCTCGCTCGATTCGGTCTTCTCGCCGCCGATTACGCAACGGTCGAAGCACTCCTGGAGTCTCTTGCTGACTTCGGTGAGACACTTCTCCATCGATCGTATACTGTATTTCTTTTCGAGACTGGGGGACGGCGATCTTCTAGACTTAGCCGCGCGCATCGCGCTCATCTGGCAGAGACACTCGTTCACTTTGTTTCTCGAGTGGATGACGACGCTCTCGAGACTTTGCAATCTGTCGAGAAGATGCCTCTGCGATTGTGTGCCGACTGTGGAACTGTCGGGGGTGTCGTTGAAAATAGGACTATCGGTGGATCTCGTCGCTTGACTGAGAGATTCGCAGGAGTTGGTAAGGTCGCGTCGGTTCTCCAGAGCGGAGGCCACTTTAGTTTCTAGCGAGCTGAGCCGGACGAGCATCTTCATCGGTTCGGAGCTCGTCGCGCTGTCGAGGGATTTCCTCCTTAGCCGCGCGGCTAACCTTTTCATACGTTTTTCATCAGACAGACTATCAGACTTAGAAGCTTTTTCTTTGGCTGGGGATGCACTTTTAGAGGGGGAATTTATAGTTGGTACAATCTCTCCTGTCTCCAGCAAAGTGATTTTATTTTCTAGTTCAGTTAACTTTTCCTCTACTTCTTTTCCCAAAGTTAAAGATTCCCTTCCTTTTAATGACAAGCTGCGTCTCTTTTCTCTTGACTCTGACTTTTGTATTTTATGTTTTAATGTCCGGACTTGTTTATCAGAGGCGGTTAGCTTTTGCGTCAAGTCTAAAATTCGAGCAGCCATTAGATCGATCTCGGATCTACTGCACTGTTCCCTCAACTTCATTTCATTTTTTAATTTCATATTTGTAATTTCGAGTTCGTCGTACATATTATGCGACTCTCGGAGTTCTTTTTTCATAGCTTTAATTTCTTGGATAGCTTTTGAAAACCTATCCCTTAATTCTACATATTCTTCTATCAGTCTGGTTTTTTCTAAAGAATCTATATTTAAATCGTGATTAATGTTCGCAAGATCGCTGAGAGAACCTATGCTTTTCCTTTTTTCTCTAGTTGGCGATTCTGCTGCAACTCTTGCCTCTAGATCTTTTATTCTAGAATACAAGTTTTCGTTTTCTTTGACACTCCTGAGAAGTTTCTCATTTAAATCGTTAAGCTCTCTCTGTAGCTGTTTTATCGTCTCTTGTGCAGATGTAAGCTGTCTCGTTAACAGCTCACAGTGCTCAGTAGATTCCTTTAAAAAGTTTTGCGTTTCGGTTAATTTATTCTCCCACATCGTCTTATCTTGACTATAGAGCTGCTTAATAGTGTTTAAGCTCTCCGCTTCTTTTGTTCTCACTATTAGTTCTTCTTCCTTCTTTTGCAAGGTAGTAACTAGATCTTCCATTTTCTGTTCTCTCATAGCTGCCTCCGATTTAAGCTTTCGTAATCTGGCAAGTTCGGATTCAGCTGAGTTGACATCGCTAAGCGCCAATTTTAGCTGTTTACGTAGGCCTTCAATTTCAATTGATTGCTTGTCGATGGTCGCTACATAACTGCGCTTACGTGCTTCGGAGGGTTTTTCGGTTTCGTTTACGTCGTTTAGTTCTTTTTCTTTGGTGTCAAGTTCGTCTTTATCTTCTTTAGGACTGTCGATTCTAGCTTGTATTTGGTGACAACTTCGGGCACGCACTTTCTCTTTAACTTTGGATATCGGTGTCCGGTTGAGAATTGGAGACGGTGGAGGCTGTGGTGCGACAACGTCTCCCCAGTCGGCGCTATCTCTTCTTCCTCCCTCTGACGCTGTTCTATATTCCTCGTCTGACGAAAATGGCGCCGACCGCCCTGTGATAGGCGTTACTGGTGTGACTGGGGAAGTCGACGACTCCGATGTTTGGTCTACCGTGTCTTCTCGAAGTATCAACGTAAGAGGGCCAGAGTCAGAAAGACCGGCTGTTCTTTGAATGGCCGCAACCCAATTAGCTCTGATACCCGCTGTCACCGCAGATAGAACTATATGTTTTCCGTCCCACGTCTGCAAAAAATTATACATACGTTTTATAACTGTCAATCGTAGGTATAAGTGTACTAGATTACTACAGGGAATCTGAAATACCTTTGTTTCAAAAGCATAACCGTTGGTAGAGGCGGAGGTTGGTAGGTCCGCTACTCTTGCTACGCCACTGAGGTCGATGACTCCATCCATTAGTCCTCTGTGTTCAGCGTGAGGGTCCCTGAAGTAGAGCAGGGCGGCGCCTCGCAGCACAAACCAGTGTCTGGACCAGCCCCCGGCACCCCTGCGTTGCAGCCAACCGGCCCGCGCGTGTAGTAATCGCTCAGCTGGCAATTCCACCCTGCCCCCTTCACCCCCCTCCGCTACTTCCACTTCGGTAGGCTCGCTGCCTTCGCTTGAAGAGCTAGAGCTACCCTCTTCTGGTGGTATTCCACCGTCTGGAGTTCCGCGAACCTGAGAATAATAACAAAATAAACCTTTAAAAAAATCATAAGCATCGAAAGTGTTTACAGAACTAGAAAGTAGCTTTTTTATCGATTGGCGTTTTTTGGATACTGACATTCTTGATTGAGCATTTAGTGCAGCGCCCGGGGCGTTAAATACATGAAAACCTCGGACTTTAGTTACAATGAATGAAATTAAAAAAATCCAAATGGAATGTTCAGCTAATAATCTTTATATATATAATTCTTCTGTGAGTGTGTATGTCACTGAACTTCTCTTAAACGACTGGACCGATTTTGATGAAATTTTTTGTGTGTGTTCAAGGGGATCTGAGAATGGTTTAGATTCACAATTTTGTCCGCTGGACAACCCCTATTTTTTTAGGGCGGTACGAAGTTCGATGGGTCAGCTAGTATATGTATATAAAAATGTATGAAAAACAAAAATATATTATTTGATTGCGATGTTGCTACTTGGTGATGTAAATTAAATGGCCTAGGTTGACTTTATTGTAGGATGGATATTAGTGGAGTCTTCTTCTTCGGAACCCTAAAAAGAAGAGGAGTTTCATATATTTTCATAGAGTTTCATAAAAGCGGCTAGTGAAATTAAAGTAACGAAAATTATACACCAAGTAGGTACAAATCATATGACACTACCGCAAGGCACACTCATTAAAAAAAAACAAGATCACAATTTTTTAATAGGAAAACTTTTTTATATGTATTATTAGCTGAACATTCCATTTAGATTTTTTTAATTTCATTCACTGTTGTGAAAAGCTACGCCATCGGTTCGCAATTCTACGGCGGGAGACCTTGTACTGAGAAGAACCGGCAAGAAACTCAGCAAGGGCTGTTTTTTTCTCCCTGTATTATATACAGAGTCGTCAAATTGAAAAATGACTTCAATATGAGGTAACTCATAAAGTCACTTGCCATTACAAATGCAAATAATATAAAAATTATGACTATATAAAAAACTGGTTTCACAAAGTTTAGGAATGCCGTGTCCTGCTGTTTTAGGCAAAAAAATGAACGATTAAAGTTTAGTACAACGATTAATAGTATCCAATGAAGCAAGAGCAGACTCATCTCCGCTGGCAGCACCCGTTCACGAGCATGACGCATGAACCAGCCATCGCTTCGCTCAACCATTTTTTAGGGAACGCAACGACCCGCCTCACACGACTAGGTATATACCCCCAGGCGCTCCAGTAATTGTACTTACGGGAAGACGGTCTGGTGGTGGCAGGCGGGTAGGTCGTTCCAAGGTCGGTGGGAGCGCCCGTCGGGACCGCGGCCGGGTGAGGGACGCCGCGATGTCGCGCAGCTGCTCATCGTACTGTTGGTGCTGCTGCTGCAGTAGCGGCGAGCGCACGTTCACTCCTCCTGCGTCATAAACATTTAAGGGGCCGTTCAAGTATTCAGTGTTACCAACCCTTACCACAATTATCCCATAAGTATTTTTTAAATTCCCCTAATATCCCCTAAATTAGAATTTATATGTACCTACTTATTACCTTAATTCGTTCGTTGCTCATAAATTAAAACGTTACATTACAGTTTCCAAAGGGAAAATCAAACGAAAATGAGTTGACAGGCTGTTAAATCTTATTTAGCTGTTTTGATTGGTGGAATAAAACATGATTGTTATGTTGTTATTTTATTATTTTATCCATTGTTGATAGGCAAAGAAGTTTAGTCCAACAGCTTTAGGAAACAACCCGTCACACAGTCAGTTCAGTTGTTTCAAATCGGGGTGCGTTCCATTCTACGCACAAAACAGAAAAAAAACACACGCTTTGTTTTTCGATTTAATTGCAAGTTTTGATAGAAGCCCCTAAAAGAACCCCCAAAAAATTCCAGCCCCTAAAAAAGTCCGTTTTAACACTTCTAGCCCCTAAATCTAAGTTGGGAACCGTGTAAGTATTACGTAAGCAGATTTATTACAATTATTTACCCCCACCTCCCCATGTCATCAAAAATAATAATCAATGCAAAAACCCCCCTGCCCCTCGATAATGCTTACATAATACTTGAATGTTAGGGGCATTCCCTCACGCCAGGGCTTGTTTACCGGTTAATTTTCAAACCTAAATCAGCATCAAGTACATTAGGAGCGTTTTATTTAGGTTTGGCTCATCCTTAACCTTAATAAACCGGTTTTCCTAAAAAGCGAAATCAAATAGGTTTTGAATCAATTTAGCGGTTTTTAAAGGGTTTCATTTCGCTCTTACTGACGGCATCGCCTTCGCCGTTTCAATTAAAATTTATAATGATTTTATGTCAGTTTCTTTCCAACTACAGAGCGAGTGAGTGAAGTAGTGTGTCACTACACAACTAAATGAATAACTTGACTCACTAGACGCTAGCAAACGTGTCAATAAATGCATCAATCTCTGATCCTTAACAAGTTGTGACTTGATTAGTTCAAACAAAACAAACTTCAAGCGCTACCGACGCGTGCACGTGTCGCTCTTGATTAAACCGGTTTATTAAGGTTTTAGGTACCGCTTTCATTTCGGACGCGCTCCGAACGAAACCTTTACTAAAAACCGGTATTAACCTTTATTTACCGGTATTTTCGAAACCGGTTACAAGCCCTGGCTCGCGCATTATATGGCAGACCGCAACGCATGGCATTACAAAAATCTCCTAAAATTACTTTCGTACATTTCGGTTACAGTTTTACTGTATTCTTTCTAGTCTGTGGTAGCAGAAATTATTTCTGATCATCATAAGCATGATTGTATTAACGTTGTAACAACACAATGATTTGTTAATGTTGTTACATTATTATTTTTGATGTTGTGGCGTTTTTTCAGTTCGTTTTTTTCTGCAGTTTAAAAAAAAATGTCCAATAACGAGTCCAAGAAAGAATTGAGCTATGCATCTAATTTGAATTTTGTCTTTGATACCGTAACGCAAGTGCTAGTTGATAGAATATCGGAGTATTATTTATGATGTGTCACCAATTGGTGCATTTCAATGACAAGGATTCACAGCTTAGAGTAACAACTGCGCAGTATCATACACACCTTCGTCTTCGTTGGTGGGCCCTTGTGGTGCTTCGGGCCAGGTGTCCCGACGGCGCGAGCGCGCCTTCTCCTCAGCGTTGATCTTATCGCGGGTGGGCGGCGATGCCGAAGACACTGGCTGGTCGGTGTACACTGCGAATTCAAAAAGTAAACCTTTATGATAATATCCTTTTCTGAAGCATCATGTATTATAACTAGGGTTGCAACGATATATCGGAATATCGATAATATCGAGACCAAAATATCGATATTTAAAATTCACTGATATCGATAATATCGATATCGGAAATTCCAAAATATCGATATTTCGTAGACTAAATTTGAACACAATAATATCAATTAATTAACCTGCTATGACTATCTAAATTGAATAATATCGAAATAACTATTGCTTTGAAATCGCAAGAGCTTATAGATGTATTAAAAAAATCTTGAACCCCAAGAAATATACTAAACAAAAAACTTTGCATCCCTAATTATAACTGACGTCTTTGCCTAACTACGGTATTTGAATGTCATCATAGGCCTCTTAATGTCCCCACTGCTGGGGCACAGGCCTTCCTTATGGATGGAATAGTATTGAGCAGTGACTCACCACGCGGGTCAAGTGCGGATTGGTAGATGCTAGCGACTGCGAGTGCAGCCGGGACCAACGGCTAATTGCATGCACGTTTCTGAAGTACGGAGGAGCCCAAGATAATATTATTTTGGTCGCTAATCCAATGATCGACATTTACGAATCTTCCACGATCTCAGGCCTAACGTGCGAACCATATACGCCATCGAGTTCCTTTTTAATGAGTGTAGTAGATAATATTTATTCGCCTAAAACGCCTTTGTATCCTATTTTCATGTATTATCATCGATAGCATATTTTATTTCTCAGTAGCAGAGGCACATAAATAAGTTTCTCTCCTTACAAATAGGCGCCTAATTATTTATTCGTTCTGTATAATATACGTCACGTCCCTCGCCTATTCTTCCGGAGATAGTATAAAAAATAAGTCAATTTTGGGGTGTGGCATTACAATTGTGTTATTTCTGACAAAAATGTTTAAACCTGAAGGTTTAAATAAGAGAAACGCCTTAACTTATAAATAACCTTGGGTCACGGAACGATCCAATTAGGACTTCTCCAATTATCCAACTATCGAGTCGGCTGGCCGTTCTGATGACTTTAAAATAGATCGCTGATAATGTGTTCTAATTATAGGCAAATTTTGCGTCAGGGTGGCGAGTTAGAGGTACCGAACTGGCTGCACAAGAGATTCTTGCCTCTCGGATTTTTTGATGAAATTGCGAATATCCTTCTCGAAAAGTAACCTACACTTTACAGAAGATTACAGCCGAAAAACAATGTTCTGTGCTTCTGAAGTGTTTGTAATTACAATGATTCGGCTTGGTTTAGGATTGTTGTCTTTTCCCATTATTGTGTATATAGAGACAAAATTTTATTGGACGAATTTACAGATGAGATTTACATAGATTTTGATTTACTGTCGGCAGTCAGTACCTACCAGTCTTGTTAGATTTTCGTTCAGAAATATATCCCTTTTCAATTATTTTAATATGCAGACACAAACAATAAGTACCAAGTAGTATCAACTTAAAATTAATTTATCCAATTTAATAATGCCCTTGATGCAATACAATTAATTCTTGAAACGATTTATCATGTGAATCAGTAACAGTTGATGGAGAGGACAAAAACAGAAAAAGGCGCAAATAGCCCGTTTGTCGGCGCCTGCAAATCGTTGCAATATTATTTTCTTTATAACAGGCATATTATCGGACATAAATCATCATTACCAAGGCAGACTGTTTAAATAGATGCAGTAATTTTACCATGTACTCATATTTAAGTACATTTATGTCTTACTAGTGGCCCGCCCTCGCTTCGCTTCGGTGTAGAGCTGTAGTGTAAACTATAGTTTTTGTTCTCAGGCTTGTGCTATAAAGAATGACTTTATTTATATAATTACACGTGTTATTGTGAATCAACCATAAAAGATAGACATATGCTGTTGCGGGATATTTTTTAGACAATTTTATGTAGAATATTTCCGTCATACATGATTTCTATGTAACTTTAACCATTAAGGCTGCACCCGCGACGGAAGCTTAAAAAATGGAGTAACTTCTCCCGTTTTCCCAATATTTCCCTTCACTACTCTGCTGCTATTGATTGTAGCGTGATGAAAAGTATACTATAACCTGCCCAGGAGTATGAAGAATAATTGTATTAAGTTTCGTTAAAATCCGTTGAGTAGTTTTTGTTTCTATAAGGAACATACACACAGACAGACAGAAAAAATTTACTGATTGCATTTTTGGCATCAGTATCGATCACTAATCACCCCCTGATAGTTATTTTAAAAATATATTTCATGTACAGAATTGACATCTCTACAGATTTATTATAAGTATAGATTATATTAATTGATAAAAAACGAGAATACAAAATACATTAATATTGTATTTGATAATGAAGCAAAGCGAAAGAAAGCTCATGAGATAATTTCGAAACCTTCAATAAAGTCAATAACTTTTAACTGCGTGCGCGAGCGCTCGCGGCGTGAAACAGTTTGTGTCGAAGCGTCACATATGTCACACATAGGTGCAGATTATTAATTGATAAAAAACGAGAATACAAAATACATTAATATTGTATTTGATAATGAAGCAAAGCGAAGGAAAGCTCATGAGATAATTTCGAAACCTTCAATGAAGTCAATAACTTTTAAATGCGTGCGCAAGCGCTCGCGGCGTGAAACAGTTTGTGTCGAAGCGTCACATATGTCACACATTGGTGCAGATTAACGCGCGAAAAAATCGCGAGCCCGATAAATATGAATGAAGCGGCCGCGAATGGCACCGCGTAAATCACTGACACCCACTGCGCGAGCGCAGCGCATTGTGTGCTGCTCGTGCTGCAGGGTTGACGACTACTACTCTCAACTGGGCAAGTCGCTCGCTCCTCTAATTCGAACTCTTCCGTGTTTCGGATAGCACGTTAAGACTGTACTCCCAGTTGCACTGGGTCGGTGTGGTGGTTTGGCCGTTCTTCCTTTTTCTATAATAAGAACGGCCTGCGCCTGCGCATCAGCTTTGACCTTGGGCATGAATAGCCTGAGGATGAGTACCAACTTTTTTATTACAAATTGTATGCTCATGGTTTTGTGGATTGTTCCGCATTCATCCTGTGACGTCTCATCCTATTTTCTTACTCGTTGCAAACTAGTATTCCTTACTCAACCTATTACTTTATTTTAATATATTTTCGTAATTCAACCCAAAGGTGATCCTTACTAACCCGAGGCAAATATTTACAAAAAATATGGATAGCAAAACAAACGGTTAATCTTTTGGGAAAACAATATTTATATGCGATAGTAATAATCTCCAGTGGCTTTGGTTTTATATTTAGGTTCGCCTCAAGAGATTTAATTTATAATAAAATCTCTTGTGAAGTTCATATACCTTCTCTTGATGATATCAGAATAATACAATAATTTATCAATAAAATCAAAATGTAGAAGGGAAATGATTAAGATAACTTTAGAGAAGTGCCACATATATTCTGTGTTAAAATAACATTACAATTGACGCAACCCTTATTCTCGCCTCCCCGTGGAGCCCTCACAGTCTGGCCTAGTGCTAAAATGAATGTCTTAAAAACACTTTATCATGTAATGAAACCTTTTTTCATGAGCAATTAATATCTATCCACGTTCCAGACGAGCATGGAGGCCATGACTCTTATAATGAATCTTATACTTTACAAGTATTAAACATTTGAAAGAAGAAATAGCAATTATAGTTCTAATTTTTATTTTTTAAAGCATGTGACTGCTTGATGTTTAAATCTAAAGCTTATATCTTTCTTACTAAGCGAATTGCGTTACTTTTTTACTGAAACGGTATCCTAATGATATTAACAATAAATCATCTCGTTAATAAGTAAAATAAAAAGTCAACATTCGCGTGTTGCCAGTTCGCATTTCCTAACATATAATCTTATGATATATGTATAATTATGTTAAAAAAACACATCAGGAGCAAATCACTACGGAGAAAGGTGTTACAAATTAGTGATCTCAGAACATTATTCATGTCAAAACGACCAGTATCTCGACTTGTGGACCATAAATGTTGGTGGTAATCTATTCAAACGTCGTATATGTACACCATACATAGTGCCAAAAAACAGGGATAAAAACCATTATTAGGAGGCGTTGACCTCACCATATACTTATATACATGGGCCATGGTGGGCAGTGTTGCCACAAACAGTAAAATTAACTACCATATATGTAGATAGATGATACCATATGTCAATTTCCCAGTTGATTATGGCGCGTAATTATTGAACGATAAAGCTTTAAGCCAGTTTGTTAAAATTTGTCAATTTTGGATACCTAGCTTTATCTGTTGCCGACTGTAATTAAGTTTAAAATTTGACCCATGGGGATAACGACTACCTTTTTATCGTCTATCAGGTAGGTTGTAAAAAAAAAGTATTGGTCACATATTTTTTCTTTTTACACAAATAAAATAAGAGATATATGGATTGGAGATGTCGCATTACGTCATATCTTGGTAAAATTATTGTGAAGATAAGAAGTGATGAAAATGAGCCCCTCACTCCTAAACTTTTATGGGCTTATCTTTATAATTTTTTGGTTGATTGACAAAACAATAAATGATTTTTTTTTTGATAATATAACTTGACATACAGCTGACGTAACTAAAAATTTTATTACGTTAACCTTCGTTTTACAATGTTATTCTATGGCCACAAATTAATAAAAAGAATGAAATAACTAAATGGAATTTTGTTTATTTTACCCCATTATGAGTAACTACATTATATCAAAAGATTTCCAAATAAACCTAATCTTTATCAAGTTGAAATTTCTAAACATCCCATTCAGAAGTTGAACAAATTCTTTAGCTATAAGCAAATTATTATTTACTAAAAAAATCAATCTAAAAAGGTATTATTTCATGCAAATTTTTCGCTACTAAGGGCGGGTTAAAACTACCAATTTTAGTGGAAAATCCATTAAGTTGGCCACACTTATGCTGGCTTAGGCTAGCGGGCGGCGGATGTCTCGAGACGTCAGCGCTTT